TAGGACAAAAGTGGTGCCATGTTTGCTAGTGAGCCATGAATGACATGAGGGGAGCCCAACAAGAGGAAAATTAGTCACCCCTTTGGCCACAAAAAGTTTTATCTTAATATTTTTACTCTCTTTTTAATTAATGGATCAGTCTTTTAAATCTATGTATTCACAATTTCTTCTACAAATCAAAAGCAAAAATGCATAAGGTTCAAAGATGAAATTTAAAATGCCAGTGGGGACTTTTCTGTGTGATTTGCCCTATGTCTTCACAGTTAGTCATGTAAATAAAACTTTGCACATCCCAAACTTGTCCGCTTCAGGAGGCTATCCACTGAAATAATTGTTCCTCTCTGAGGTGAAGGAGTCTAAAGATACTGTCACTTATTGTAAATACTTTAGGACAAAAAAAAGTCATCTTGCCGAGGAGGAACCTCAGGATAGGCAAGTGCTGTGATGGGTGAGGGTGAATTGACCAATAAAAAATCAGTGGAAAATCTGAGATAAAGAACAACCAATTCTAACAAGCTCCATTCTTAAATTCTCTTTTTTATTTTGAATTTAACATTTGGTGGAGAATGGGAGATCCAGTAGAACCTATGAAGCAGGGAAGAAAGCACCCAGAGAAGAGAAATTTACATTCCAGTTGCACAGTGTGATCAATGAAGAGGAGAAGGGCTTACAGGATGAACATTCAGTGTCAGAGTATTTGTTGGAAGAAGACAGCTAGCTGGTATACCTCCATCCCTTCTCCTTCTACACTTGCAAATCCCTGCTGCACTTCTGAGCCCAGGATAGTTTTAGCTTTGACTGCTCCTTTTAAGAGTAAGAACAATCATGTCAGAATGTAAAACTTCCACCTGTTAGATTATAAAATCCATAGTTATATCCAGTTAAGGTCCAAGCCCTCCCCAAGCTGGGGCTGCAGCATGAAGCATTTTTTCCTCCAAGGTTCTGCCTCTACCCTGGGCAGCTAACAATTGTTTCAGACCCCTCTGGAGTTGAACCAGGAGGCTTGGCTAGGGTAACACACATCTTGTGGACTTGGTGCACTGGTTGTGTGACACTGGGCCTTCAGTGACAGTTATAATTGCTGCCTTTTTCTCTTTTTGGAGTGTAGTTTTCTTAGCTGCACATTGGGAACTCCTACCACAGTTCTTTTAGCACAGCCTTAGCAGTCCTCTGGCTGCTTCCCTCTGGTTACTTCCCTCTGGCTGCTTCCTGGCTGAACCCAAGCTTCCCTCCACATCTCCCCAATCCCTGCCCACCTCCCCCAACCCCAGCTTCTCACCTGTGCTTAGCCACTTGTCTTTCAAGATGGCTGACAGCAGCTCTTTCATGCAGTCTGTGTCAGACTGCCAAGGGAACAGTCTATGGCCTCACTCTGAACACAAGGGTAATTCTCTGTTTGTAGGCCTTTCTTGCTTTCTGCTTTGTCACCAGGCAAATGTCCTTCACTAAACTCCAGGGGAAACTTGTAGGTGGCTTCCTGATACCATCACCTGTTGACTTCAGATGGGGCAAAAAGCCCTCCCTTTCTCCCTGATGTTTCTCTCTATACATCCTTTCCCTGGTTAGTCTGGAGGTTTGGTGGTAGGCTGACAGTTTTTTGGTGTATCCTGCCTAGTAGTCCCAGCACCTGTATTTAAAATGTGAAGATAGTTGGCATCTGAATTATAGATTCATGGGTCAGCCTTTGGACCTCTGGCAATGCTCACAGATCCCACTTTAATATTATGCTCCAGCAATTAAAGTGGGTTTCAAACATTTTTATTTCCTTCTTTTAACTGTTACCTTAAAACTTACATTTTTCCCTAATTATTTCCTTTGAAATAAATAACTACATAAATCCACATGTACCAGTTAGGAGAGGGACCCCAATATTGGTTGGTGACTGTGTATTGGGGCCTCTCCCACAGACCCTGGCAATAAGGGAAGGGCCACATTTGGAAAGGGAAACCTGGGGCCAGTACCCATGAGTCCACCTGCTCGGGAGCAGAACTTCAGAACCAGTCCATGTCTGTGGCCTCATCTTCTACCCCATAAAGCGCAGCATAATGATGTTTGGAGATGAATACTTCAGTAAGTAGTAGTGCTGATTTCTGTCCATGTTAATTTTCACTTTACAGCTTTTCTGGCTATTAGAGGAGATAAGATTAAGACTTGTGACCAAATTATCACTCTCATTTTAATAACAGAATACAAAAAAAACCCAGAAAGCATTGTTCTCTTTAAATGCTATGTGGAACTCTACCTGTCTTGATTTATTGTCTACTCAGCAGATTTTAAAATGTAAGAGAAATTTCAAAACTATGCACACCTGGCAAGAGCATTTATGAATAATTAAGTCTGTCTAGAAGTCTTTGTAAGAGATCATTTATATGCCTCTAGAATTCACACACTAGTGGGTAACAGAGCACATGTGCTATAGAAGCTCTGGGCATTCAACTTCTCACAGGAAGGTTGTTGAATGAGAGAACGACAGAAAACTTCCCACAGATTCTTCGCTTGGAAAGATGCAAGTTTATCCTGTGGTTTCAGCTTCCTGGTAACATAATTGTTATGTTGCAATTGAATTGGGAAGTTCTCAACAAAAAAGTTCAAGGCTTAGTCATTATTTCCTGATGGTTCACTAAATTAGTAACACTACAGGCTAATGACTCAATTTCACTTTCACATCAGTGTCTTAATACATAGATCATGCCCCCCGCATTACATAACACTTATGTAGACACACTCACGAGTCAGTGGTGGTAATTCTGTGTCTTTGTTTAGAGCTTTAGAATGAGAAAGTGGGAGGTTTCGTGTGATCGCTATAATTAATTTTAAAACAGCATTTTATAAAATGCTATTTGGATAAGGTATTCTTACTAGGAAGGGGAAAACCTTAACATTTCTTACATAATGAGATTTATTCTCCAGTTTCATACTTAGGATATTTCCACAATCACAATTATGTAGCCAACACTGAGACTGTCTGGCAAGGCTGCCCTTCCAGAACATTCCAGTTGAAGGAAGTAGGCCTGGTGGAAAGAGGTACTCATGAGAACTTTACTATCATAGTCTTCCTCCACACACACCTAATCTGACACAACTCCTGACAATCCTAATTCCAAAACAAAGCTGGGGTCTGGTTGCTTGGGTCACCTTGGTCCCCCAAACCCTTATCTCCCTGTGACTATTTCAAGGGCCTCCCAATTGGACCCCAGACCTACTTTTGGAGGACCACCGGAAAAATCTTGTTTTTCCTCACCTCAAAACCCATGAGCGCAGCTCCCCAACCCACAAAAAGCTACATTTCTTTGGCCCAGCTCACAGACCAGCCTGGTACAGCCCAGTCCTCACTCCTGTCTCCTGCCCTTGGTGCTCTTCCCTGCTCAGGGAACTTGTTCCTCTGCCTGAAATGCTCTTCCTCCACAGAGAGGCCTTCCTTGACTCCATCTCCAGGAGCCCACTCATTCCCTGCAAAAGTAACTCTCCCTCCTCTGCTCCCTCACCAGATGGCTCCTAATTGGTATTTATGCTTGCTTGTCTGTATGATAAACCTGCTGTCTAACACCAGGGACGCTGGCTACCTTGTTCAGTGCTGACTGCCCAGTGTGGAGATACTGGGCTTGGCAAATATTTGTTAAATGGAAGGGGAAAGCAGCAAATGAATGTTGTGTGCAGACACTGTGTATGTACTGACTTTTCCTGTGCAAAATTACTGTTGAACCTGTGGGACTACATGTATTGCCATGTTTTAATTACTTAAAAACGTAAGCAAGCCCTTTTTTTCTTGATTGTGTAGGGATTGAACTTAGGGCCTTGCATTTGCTAGGCAAGCTCTCCCCACTTGAGCTGCACCCCAGTTCTTTTGCTTTTAGTTTGTTTTGAAAATAGAGTCTAACACTTTTGCCCAGGGTGGACTTGGATCTTGACTGTTCTAGATCCGCCTTCTAAGTAGCTGGGACCACAGGCATACGCCACCACACCTGGCTTATTTTTGAGAAAGGGTCTTCCTACCTGTTTGCCCAGGCTGACCTCTTATCTGTCTCCAGAGTAGCTGAGGTTACAGATATGAGCCACCACACTTGGCTCTTCATCACTTTAGTATGGTTGTGGTTGATTCGTAAAAGCTGCATTTGTAATTACAAGTCTAGGGTCATATCATTTTCAAATAATTCTTTTACCCTCCTCCCTAACCCTAAACTAACCTACACATATGAAGCAGAAAATCAGCCAGAATGCCAAATTTAGATATCGAAATACTTCTGTGTGATGCCTGCCTGCCATGGCTGTGAGCCCCTAAGGGTTCTTACCCGTTCCTTGGGAGGTCCCAGTAGGGATGACTGGGTGGCCCACGGTGTCAGGCCCAGATGCCAGCAGAGGGACCAGGACACTACCCCCACACACACTTACCCTCCCCAGAAAGGCATGGGTAACCTAGTTAGCACACACTGTCCTTCTGCCCCCTTAGTCTCCCTCATGTGGCTGCTTTAGGGTCTGCAGTTTCTACAGTGTGTCATTTCTATTCCATGTCACCTGCCATGTATACACTATTTGTATATAATATTCTGGAATTACATAATATTTTCTCCAATAATTAATGTGTTCTTTCACTAATACGTGGGTAATTTCTCTCAAGGAGATATGAAGTTCTCATGGCATAATTTCAGTGTTATCGTTATACATAATCTCATCATTATCACTGCTGTGCTTTTTAATATATTAGTAATACCTATAGTAATTATCTACTAGGACAAGGGCAGATTTGGTTCTGAAGCCCAAGCGACGTTGGAGATGAGTAAATCTCTAAGAACACAGCTGATGGGATCATCAGAGGACCATGCTGGGATGCTCAGTTCTCTCCACTGCGTCCTAGGCACCTGAGGATGTCCACCATGCCGAATCTGAATTCAGTCACTTCCCAATAACATGCTGTTGGGGATGGGGAGTAATCTTTAATTTCCATTTATTTGAGTTGGGATATTCTTTGACCTCTGTATTCTTGTTCTCTTCAAATGATGTAGAGTACGTTTCCTGATGGGCGGACGTCATGGAGAATTTAAGTTTCTGCCTCCCTCTGGCTATGCCCCCTGCTATGAAGCCTTACTTCCAAAAGAGAAGATGAGGTTGGAGCCTGTCAAAGAATATAAACGCGACTCTGATGGCGTCAGAGACCTTCTGGGCACCACCCAGTTCCTCTCCCAAGCCTCCTTCATCCCATGCCCAATAGACACCAGTCAGGTGGGTTCCAGCTGCTAAAGAGAGGCAATAATAGGGTCATGCCTCCTTGTTTCTCTGGTCTCTGAACCACCCCTACTAGGCTTTCTGTAGAACTGTGCAATGTAAGTAATTACTATTCTTCATGTTTCCATTCTGTGCATCAACTGAGCCTGTTAACGACCACTCAGCAAACAAATTGAGTGTCTGCTTCATGCAAGGCACTAACTCTATGAAGGATGAGCAAAACATGGCAGCATTATCTGAGAATTCACAACTGTGTTGAAAACATAAGAAGCAAATGTGTTATTCTTTTAGAAGCCAAGTGTAATAAACAAAATAAAGAGCATGCACAAGTAGAGACATCCTTTTTTTTAGGCTGGAATGTTTCTAGGGGTCTGTGTAGACTCCTCGCAAGGGTGGGCTTCAGAGGGGAGGGAGGCCTCAAGTGCTGTGATGGCAGTGAGACAATAAGGAAAGCAACATAGGGACAGTTGGCAGTGATGGGACAGTGGGAGGAGGAGGGACATGCAGAAGGCAAGATAGAAAATAAAACTGAAGGGAACCAGTAGTGTGGTGGATGTGGGACTGTTGGTAAATGGGACATTTTCTTTCCCTTTCCAGGTTCTCTATCATGAGAGAGACACATTCACATGGTGTGGCAAGGGCTGTCAGCATTTCCTACATACCAGTGCTACCCAAACCACTGTTCTTGTGTCATAGAGAACAGATGAAGAGGGCCCTTGCCTCCAGGGCACCTAAGGTTAACAGTCTATATGAATGACAGCTCTTTCAGCTGTAGATTATCTCCAGCATGCATTTCCCACAACAGTCACATGACCTTATTGTATTCAGCTGTGTACAGGAGTTCATGAGTTTGCCTCTTACCTCCTGTGGTTCATGATTGTAAATCCCATAAAATAGAAAGTGCATCTTGTCTCTGCCTGCTTTACAGAACCTGGCACAGCCCTCAGATGCAGGCAGGGGTTGATAGGAAACTGGAAGGAGATTGTGAGTGAGGGCGATTCTAGGAATCAGATGATCTGGTCCCTGTGTTCTAGCACTGGAGAGAAAACCTCTATTTTCATCTCTTCTAAACTAGGGGTAGACACATTAAATGCAGACAAACAGGTTAGCAAGAAAAAATAGATTTTAATTACCTAGTACAGAGTTCACAAAGGATTGCAACTCTGGGAGGAAGTTAAGATTTGGAGCTGATAGACCACCCTACCAAAGAAAGGGGAGGAGGATGAGATGCTTCCAGAAAAATATGTGACTTTGAAGCAAGATAAAAGGGCTCTTTGAAGAACAGATGGGAGGTGTGATAGGTTTGTGATGGGGTCTGCTTGGGTGTAGTGCTGATAAGAGTGGGTCTTTCCTGGGAATGAGCAGGTGAATTCTTTGGGAAGCTCTTTAAGTCAGAAAAAACTCTTTCCTAAATGTCTTCAATGCAAATAATCTGTTTATGCCACTGTGGCATATTCTGGACTCCTTCACAGACAGGAAACTTGAGGGCCAAAGACTGAAGTAACCTTTCTGTGGACACAGGGCTACTTGTGCCCATGCAGGGAGATAGGATTCATGAGAGAAATTCCCTCCAGCAGCCTCTCCCGTGAAGTACTCAGAAACAAGCCGCAAACCAGGCTTCCTGGAGGAGGCTGGTTGAACAAGAGTTCAAAAGAATGAGAGAGAGTTTCAGTGAGCTCAGGGAGGAGGGCTCCACCTAAGAATAAAAGCAGTTCTGTAAATCAAAGTGCAGAGAAATATCCTTAAGGCAGAAGAGCTTTGACACCCACACTCACAGCCAAGTTTGTAAGGACTCCGAACCTAGGGAAATGGTGGTGGGCAATGATATAGGGAAATTCTCACTGGAATGGTGCATTTGTTACCTTGAATGAGATCTTGTACTATTTTGGAATCTGCCATTCTGTGAAATCACCATCAAAGGAGAAGTTAAGTATAAGACGCTCACTGAGTAAGTGCTTCACTCTCCCGGGGTGCACTCGCTCTTTGCAGGTTAAGTACGGTCGGTCATCCACTTGAGCAGCCTCCCTTAGGGACTCAGCAGGCCCATCTTTATCCAGGTAGTGCCACTCAGGATCTCTGCGTGGCTTGGGATCTTTTGTGGAGGTCTCTTTCCACAGTACCAACCACATTTTCATTTTCATGGAAGCATTTTGGTTCCTCTGAACTACAAATCTACTTTTGAGCTGTGATCATCTATGGAGTACTTAAACAAATGGCCTTGGTTAGCCATTAAAATCTGAGTACAGTTGTAACTTGTCTCCTAATGACTTTCCCCATATTCTCCGCATCAAAAACATCATGCCACTTACTTTGACTTTGCTAAAATCAGATAACTTGATTTTTAAGTGTTTTAGACAACTAGTGATTATTGCTACTTTTCTTTTTGATTTCCTTATATACCTCCAAGTTGATATATCATAATTAGACATGTATTGATTTGGGAGTGGTCATCTGTGGGTGGAACATGCAAGAAGGAAGTAAGGGAGGAAGGACATGCACCACAGAGCTCTGTAGGGAAGACCTAGAAGGAATGATCAGAGAGAACACAGGAGCAAAGAAAGGCTGCGTTCAGAAACTGCAGCTCCTCCTTGGTAATTGGCCAGTATGGGGTCCGTGACCCCAGTGGATTTTACAATAGAATTCAGTGCAAATGACTCTCACACTCTGGTGTTTCACTTTCTCCCTTTTCTTTAGATTGTTTTGCCACCTCACCTGGAGAAGATCCGAGACAGACTGGCTGAAAACATCCATGAGCTTTGGGGAATGAATAAAATAGAGCTCGGCTGGACTTTTGGCAAAGTATGTGTTTCAGTGGCCGGGCCAGGGTGAGGGTTGGATAATCTTGTTTTCCTGGAAGGGTTCATAAAGACTTGAATGAGTACAGGAAGCCCCTCCCTCCTCCTGCCACCTGTGTAGCTTTTGCTGTAACTGGGAGCAACCCATCTTTTGTCTGTGTGTGGTCAGGAGCCCTATAGAGACCAGCTCTTCACAAACAGCACTAGGAGCTCCCTTCTCCCCTCCAAGTCCTGGATTTTTTTACTCGGGGGAATATGGGGTGCAATTGGTCCTCAACACATCCTTTAGCGCATTCAGTTCTCTACTTCTTTCATTCAGAAAAAGCTGTCTTCTCCACATGGGTTGGTAATAGCTGCTGATTGATTTGAATCAAAAGTTATTTAACATGGTTTTCAGATGTATCTCTAAGATTATAAGATTAACAGATACTCAGAGGAGGTTAGAGAATCTCTTTCACTAGAAAGAATTTTTCAGAGACTGTAAGTTGACTTGGCTCTGTGATTTGTATAAGGTCACGTCTAAAGGTAAAAGGATAGGTGAGTTCTGCAGCTCCTGTGACCCTGATGCGTATTCCCCTTGGTTACTGAAAAAGTACTGCACTTGTGTGTACAGATAGCACCTAAAATATTCTTATGTAACACCACAGCCTCTCCTGTAGAGAACATAGCTGTTGTAGTTTTAGATTTTTTTTTCTACAAATATTTTATGACTGCTTCCCACCTCATTAGGTGGTTTACTTCAAGAGGTCATGGTTGTTTGTGCTCACTCAGTACTCGCCATCAGCTCAGGCACTCCACAAATATTCATTGGACAAATGGATGCATGAATGAAAAATGTTTGCGTTCTCACCATTCAGTACAATAGCCATAAGCCGCATGTAGCTACTGAGAACTTAAAAAGTGGCTACTCCAGATTGAGATGTGGTGTAAGTGTAAAATTCACACTGGATCTTGATGATTTATGAAAAAAAAATGTAAAATGCCATAAAAATGTTCCTCTGTTGATTTTTAAACTGATCATATCTTTCATGTATTTGGCTAAGTAAAATACATTCCTAATATTAACTTCTCACTTCTTTTTGCTTTTTCTAATGTGGTTACTAAAATTTTTGAAATGACATATGTGGTCCACATTTCTTGACCTTGCACTTCCTGATACTGGTCAGGATTCTATGTACCCTTCAATAGCATTGGGGTGGCAAGAGTTTGGAATGAGCAGAAGCCTGTAACTTTGCTTCTATGGGGAAGTGTGTTCTAAATGCAGACACCTGCGTAGAAATAAGTCCCCAGAGCACAAGCATTGGCAATGTGGGTATATGGATCACTCACTAGGAAGGTGATCATGGGCTCTCCCGTCAGCACACTGCTATCTTGGTTGTGCCTGATATGGATTGCCTGGACTGTGTCTCAAAGGGTGTTCCTTCTGTTTTCCAGTACAGCACCAACTGTTAAAACTTAAATCCTGTTCTTTCTTATGTTGTCACCTAGATACGGGATGACAATAAAAGACAACACCCCTGTCTTGTAGAGTTTTCAAAGCTCCCTGAAACTGAGAAGAATTATAACCTGCAAATGTCAACTGAAACCTTAAAGTGAGTGTTTTGAGTTGAAGTTGGGATGATTTCATGCATTATAAGTAAACTGCAAAGCTATGTCTGTCTTGCCTGTAAACACCACACATTCTAATAAGTTAGAAAGGATTATTCAGGATTTAGCATAGAGAAAAACTGATCCAAGATTATTATTTAGTACATATATTTCTTCAGACACCATTTGCTAAGAACAGGGAAAAGGTATAGGGAGCAGAAAATAAAGAGAAAAAGAATCAAAGGACCACATGCATCTTGTACTTAACATTAAATCAAGAAAAAAAGATAAAAGCCATGGTCTGATTCACTAAAAGTTTAATTTTAATATCACGTTCAGCTTCTCCATGATCCCACCCATGTCCTAAATAGGACCCTACCTTTTGCAGTCCAGGTTGAGGAGTCCTCTCACTTTGAGCTCCTCGTGTGTGGAGACTCTTCCTCCTTTGTGTTTCCGTCGGTGCAGAACATTCTACATGGTTGTGCTGATCCCACAGTGCTGCAGGAGATGCTTGGAGCCCTCTTGTGCCATGTCTTCAGTTCCTCCCATGCTTGTTGAGGGAGCAGCTTCATGCGGCACAGGGTGGAGCACAGTTCACAACACTAAGCACACACAGCACAGCAAGTACTGCTGACCTGTGGACTTGCTATGAGGGTCCTATCTGTTCTAGGAATTAGAAGCCAGATGTAATTCAAAGTGAATTTGACTGGAAGGTGTCTCCAAGGGCAACAATTAAAAGCTTCTTTTCTGTGTTCTTTTTTTTTTTCTGCCATACTGGGATTTGAACTCAGGGTTTCACCCTTGCAAGGCAGGCACTGTACCACTTGAGCCATGCCGCTAATCTTTTTTGCTTGGGTCATTTTTAAGATAAGGTCTTGGTTTTTGCCCAGGCTCGCCTGGACCATAATCCTTCTATGTATCCTTCCCCCACATCTGGGATGATGGGCACATAGCATGCCCAGCTTTTGGTTGGTTAAGATGGGGGTCTCTCAAACTTTTTGCGCAGGATGGCTTTGAACTGCAATCCTTCCAATCGTGGCCTCCCAGGTAGCTGGGATTACAGACATAAGCCACTGTGCCTACCTTTTTTGTGTGCTCTTATGCATACTATCACCTAAATCAGAAGTTGGCAAATTATGGCCCATGAGGCCATCAGACCAGCCACCTGCTTCTGTAAAATAAATTTTTATTGCAACAAAGCCAAGCTCATTAGTTCACTTATTGCCTATGGCAGCTTTTGCTCCATAATGGCAGTTGAGTAGTTGTGAAGAAGACACATGGTCCATAAAGCCTAAAATGTGCCCTGTCTGGCCCTTACGGGAGATGTCTGCCAGCCCTGGGTGGCTCAGACACAGGTTCAGCTCTTGTGATCCGTTATCTTGTAGTTGACTATAGACTTCTTCCTCTTACATCATAGAACTCTTCTGGCCCTGGGGTGCCACATTGCTCATTTTAATCCAGCTGCTGAGGAAGATCTCAAGAAGGTCAAGCTGCCTAAAAAGTAAGTGATTTTCTTATTGCTCAAGGCTTTGATGCTTTAGTCTGAGCTTATAAGTCAGGAGGGTGGGAGCCCCAATACTTGGTAGCACTAGCTCAGGATGTCTCCCAGTTATGATGGCACTGAAGGATTCAGGAAGAAGCCTTCTGAGAAAGAAGTACTTCAAGGTCTCCCTCTTTTTGTTCCTTCTGCCCTCCCTAGCACTACTAGAGTTAGTTTTGAGCTAAGACAGGTGGAAACCTCAGATGGTGTTCTGTCTTTGGTCTACAAGAATTGTAGTTGGCACAGGAGTTTGGAAATAGTTCAAAGCCACAGCAGAGATTCACTCCTCTGGCACTGGGTCAAGCCGCAAATCCTTTGTGGAAATGGGTGCCTCTGCCAAGATTTCATTTGGCCCCCTAGATCTGTGTGTGGCCTACTGTCCTCCTACCCCGACACATAGACAATAATCACATATTCTCACATTCAGGCCCACACCCACTGGCACATGCACTGCACCCTCACACACCAGTCTGAGTACCCACACATACACGCACAGGTGCCACCATTACTTCAGAGCCAAGGCACTGCCAACTCTAATCAAAAGCTTATCTTCCCCATCTCCACTCTTAAACTCCCAAGCTGACAAATTCCATTCTCACACACAACTCCTGATGCCAACATCCTAGTAGCTGAGATTGCTGTGTCGGTACTCACCAGTGCATGCTGACTCTACCTGGAAGCCAGCATCCAGTGTCTTACCCTACAACAGTCCCTGCATCTCATGCTGCCCAGAGTTTCCAGGGCAAAATAAGCCCTGATCCACCACATTCAGGTTCTAGCTCTGATCTGGACAGTAAGTGGCCCTGAGGCCATGAGCACCTGGACTCACACCCCTACATGGGTGTGATCAGCTGCTCTCCTGAGAGTCACTCCACAGCTTGCCCCAGCCTTCTCCATTCACTGATGTATACACCTGGACTCAGGCTAAACCCTTCCATATCTGCACATCAGTCTGTTAAGTTAGAGGCATTTCAGGCTGTGACTCCTCAGTTGGGCAACCAACTGCTAACACCACTTCAAACTCATGATTTTTCATTCCCAAAATAAAGGTTGACCTATTCAAGATGGAGTGACCATTCTATGCTGACTTATAAGAGAACATTTAGCCCAAGTCTTACCCTGGCCACTCTGGCTTTAACTTTTCATGTTTCACAAGTGGAATGGAGGAGCTTCTGGTACTGTACATCATGCTGAATGTGCCCATTGTTTGTAGGGCACATGGTTTTTTGAGAAGTGAGACAGGATTTGCACTGACCATCTATTTTCTTTATTAGTTCCCTTTGAAATTTGTGCCACAGGGAGATGGTAGACTAAGGGCTGAATCTGTGGACTTGAAATAGGTCTGAACTATCTGCCAGCCAAGGAGAGGAATCTCTGGCTATAATCTCATTTACTCAGCATGCTTACCATGTGCTCTTGATCTGAAATCTGGGATGGGAAAACCATATGGCTCTATTCAACTATACATGCACTTCTGCATTTACTTGTAGCTACATGATGTCCAATGGCTATAAGCCAGCCCCTTTGGATTTGTCTGATGTGAAGCTGTTACCTCCTCAAGAAATTTTAGTAGATAAGCTTGCAGAAAATGCACACAATGTTTGGGCAAAAGACAGAATAAAACAAGGATGGACATATGGCATTCAGCAGGTGAGAGTACTAGGTCATGCATGCTGGAAAAGCTAGGAGATGTGATCACCCATCAAAATGCTACTTTTCTTTGGAGGGTGTTAGATTGGAAGGTGGACGTTGCCTTTTCACTCTATCCCTCTCACTGAAGTGTGTTTGTTATTTTTAGAATTGTAAAGATCACATGGGCAATGACTCTAGGCATAATTCTAATTTTGCAGAAATGGATAAGGTTTCCCTTTCCCTTTGTTAGGGATTCACTCATAAAATGTTTTGCCCTGCTGGGTATTGAGGGGGTGGGGGGGGAGAGGAAGGGGGCAGAGGGGGTGGGAGGGGAGAGGGAGGGGGCAGAGTGGGCGGTAAGGGAGGGGGTGGGGGCAGGGGGGAGAAATGACCCAAGCCTTGTATGCACATATGAATAATAAAATTTAAAAAAATGTTTTGTCCTATGTATACACCCAGTAGCTACATTTTATCTCATTCTCTGTCATGCTGCTTGCATTGTGGAGAATTAAGCTTTCATGCCACTCTCCAAGGTTGAGGTAAAGAACAAGTCAACATCATACATCAGTAATATTTCTGGGATGGTCCCAGATATCTACCAGTGAGGGTGAAAAGAAGGGAAAAGCAGCCCAGGAAAGGGACAAACCAGCCTGCCCAGGAGCCTGTGCCCCTCACTGCAGTTCACTGAGCGAGGGGTTCCTGGGCAGAGTTTCCAGCTTGAGCAGGAAGCAGCCTAAAGCCCAAGACACAAGAAATCAGGCCCAGCCATTTGACACACCTCTTTCCTTAAGATACTTCTTATAATCCACATTTCCAGGGTTAGTATCAGAGAAGCTCATATGAGTTCATCTGTAGCTGAGCCTCCCAACTTCCACAGATCTGGAAGCCAAGAAGAGTGCAACTCTGAGAACCATGGAGGGATGGGGAGTGAGGGGGTCCAAACAGCATGTTGTACATCCTAGTCTGAGTGACTTTTTCTGCAGTTGTTCTGTCTTTTCAGTCTCTCCTAAGGAACTGAGGGGATCTCTACTACAGATGTGTACCTTTTGTGATACAGTGGACCCCCTCTGACTCTGCCATCTTTTCTGACATCTCTTTATGAAGACTCATTTTAAGAGGCTCTTGCAGTTCAGATAGTGGCATGAATTTCTACAGGGGAACAGTTATGCACATTCCATCTGCCTTGCCTCGGGAATGGAGGTTTCTAACCATTTCATGACTCTTCATTTTATTTGTAGGCTGGCATTATTAAAATCTGATTTTTAATGCTAGCTTTGAGCATTATTAAAAATGTTCCATTTATACTCAATCCTGAAGAAAAGTGGCAAATATGTACATTGCTAAACATCAAGGCACTTGGGAGAAAGCTAATAGACTAGGGTAAGCCAGCCAGCCAGTCAGAAACATGTGCATGGAATAAGCTACTTGTGAAATTGACGTGTGTTTTCTTGGCATGTCTTTCCTCTGACTTCAATAGGATTTGAAGAACAAGAGAAATCCCCGTCTGGTCCCATATGCACTCCTGGACGAGCGGACCAAGAAGTCGAGCAGAGACAGCCTCCGTGAAGCTGTCCGAACATGTGTTGGTTACGGGTATAACATTGAGCCAGCAGACCAAGAGCTAGGTAATGGACTGAGACCATTCATTCTGGCCAAATCTACCAAGCAAAAACGCTCATTTTAATTAGGTCCAATCAGCACCATTGGAAGTGGTATCTGTTTAAAATGGTGTATTTTTAAAGGGAGGAGCTATGTTTGATATAAAGTATCATCCCATTGATAGACATTTCTGTGACAATCACTTCTATGTCCCCACCCCACAGGGCAACTGTATCCTTCAGGATACCTGGTCACAGAACCAAGTCACCTTTACTTCCCTTACTCTCCAAACATGTGAATAGCAACTTACTTTTTGATCAGATAATCACATCTCCAAGTTAAATTCTAGTGCTAATTAAAATCATCAGAGTATACTTGGGGAGCATGACATTGTCATCCCTTACCCCAAGGGGTATCATAAGCCACAATGGTTCATGGGGTGACTTTGGAGTCAGACCTGGATTCAAATCTTTTATCCTCAGTTTTTTAGCTCTGTAACTTTGAGAAAATGAGTTAACTTCTCTGAGCCTCAGTTTTTCCACCATGACTTCATAGGATTGCTGTGAGGAAAACTGAGGTACGGATACTAAGGGATCCCAACACAGCCATCACTCAGCAAATGTGACTTGTGTGGGTGTGAAGATAGGATGACCGTGATGGTGATGATTGCATGGCGTAGACAGAATGCTATGTAGGGCAGTGGAACATCCATGGCCATCTTACTTGTCACCAGATTCCTTTGAGGAATGCTACTAATGATTCTTTGGGCTCTCTCTTTCCCTCCCACACCTTCTCCTCCTCACTCTCCTCACAGTAGCTGATCCAGCTGTGGAAAAAGTCAGCATAGACAAGATCCGATTTTTCCGGGTAGAGCGGTCTTACGCAGTGCGCTCTGGGAAGTGGTATTTTGAGTTTGAAGTGGTGACTGGAGGAGATATGCGGGTCGGCTGGGCCAGGCCAGGATGCCGGCCAGATGTTGAGCTGGGGGCTGATGACCAAGCCTTTGTGTTTGAAGGCAGCAGGGTGAGTTCATATGGTGCCCACACATCCTCAACACAAGATTTCCTATTCCAAATGTTTCCCCATAAGCCACCACCACCATTAACCAGTGATTATTTCTTTGTACTTTGCTCTGCTAAAGAGAAGCATTGTATCCCAAATCCTTTCTGAAATCATCTCCACATCTGCTCTTTTACCTAAACCCATTGATTCCACTCCAAAGCCTGCACATTGAACACTTGCAGTCAATATGTTGGAGATCCCACCAATTTTCCCTAGAGAGAATCTTATTTATTGTTAGTGGTGATGAGGAATCATGAGACTTGGGCCACCTTCTCTGGTGAGTCTTGTGTATCTTAGTCCGTTCGTCTGTGAGATAGATCACTCCTCCCTGGAACATATCCTTAGAAGAGAGGTGAGTCCTCTTAGAGATCATGACCCACTACCAGTTAGGAGATGCCACTGTGGTCATTTCTCCAGCTGTGCAGGCTTCTTGGACCAACATATCTCTAAGCCTGAGGTCTTATTTTAAAGGGCCAACGTTGGCATCAAGGGAGCGGATATTTTGGGCGAACATGGCAGCAAGGAGATGTGGTCGGATGCATGATTAACCTGGATGATGCTTCAATGATCTTCACACTGAATGGGGAACTGCTGATCACCAGTAGAGGCTCTGAGCTTGCCTTCACTGACTACGAAATCGAGAATGGTACGTCTACCGCCTTCCCCATCCTGATCCCATGAGGCTGAAGAAAAACCCAGGGGGAGCCGAGTGAGCCCTTCTGTCTCTATTTAGGATATATTGTCCTTGCGTATGTGAAACATGAATGGTAAAGAACATCTCTTATACTGTTATTTTTGAATAATCAGGACAAATAATAGTGATCATTGATATGTCCACATAAATAGAAATTCTGAACCAAGAAGCCGTCCTCTAATTTCCTGCCCTGAACTTTGGCCCTTTATGGTTTCCCAGTTATATGAACACTAATCATGTATGGACTGATGCCGTTGGCAGGAGAGAAAAGTTAAGGAATTATCCTTTATAATATGATTTGATAGTCAGTCTCCATGTTTGTGTAGTTGAATTTGATGTTTCAATGAGAACCATTGAAACACAAAAGTTAGATTTAGCTGTTCCCTTGAATGAAATGTAATTTATTTTGAAATTCAAGTATGCTGTGACACCAAAGCAGAGTTGCACTTATTGATAGTCATGAATAGACCACAATCAGTACAGCACTTCCAGATACACAAAGGAGCAATTAGAGCATATTATTGTTGGTTCCAAAACTGTGCACAACGTACGCAGGATTGTCAGCGTGTGGGGGAAAGAGCACTGGACTACAAGTCAGCAAACTTGCTCCTTTCAAGCCATGTGGCTGCCTGGGAATCTCTGCTTGACGTATCTGGGCTATGCTTTCTTCATCCATAAGAGGATAGAACACCGCACAACCCTATGCTTGGTGCTGGGCCACTCTGCTTTCTGTTTACATATGAGGAAAATGCCTGTCTAAGTCAGGACACCTGGTTTCTGCCCCTGCCCACCTGTGACATTGTAGTTGACTTGAGTCTCTTTGGGCCTAATTTCCCTCTGTAAATGATGAGGGCTCCTTGTAGCACTAAATTTCTGAGACTTAACAAAAAGAAGTCTTTGCCTAAGGAGTTAAAACTATGTAACTGCATAGGCAAAGAGAACACAAATACATGAAACCCTGAATATATGATATAAATCTTTAGAAAATATTTTCAGTTTTTAACATGAATCACACACTTTCTTCAGATGCCTATTGTCTGCAGCATACGTGACAACTGTACCTTTCAAGAGCTTTATAGATATTTCCAAGAACTAAGAATTTGGGTAAATGGAAAGATGGCAACTAGTGTATTTTCCAAAAGAGATAGGATGTCTAAACCCCAAAGGGGTCATGTTTTAATGTCTTCCAAAGAGGCTTCAGATCAAAGTTTTGGAGAGCATCCCATTTGGGGAGGCCTGTGTAGGGAGTGCAGTAGAGGCACCTCACAGCAGCCAGAGCTGTCAGACCTCCCACATGCTTCGGAGCTGGCTCCTGGAGGCCAGGAAAATGATGAAGAATGAGAGATCCCAGCTTTTCCACAATGAAAGCAGCTCCCTGGGGTGGAAAGAGCTCCAAGGCTCCTTACTGTTGGCATGAACTAGAAATAGCCTATCTTTCGGTCTTAGTTCAGCACCAGAAGATCAGAATCTTGTCTGTTACACAGTAATGAGAACTTAGTAAAATCCAATGCCTCGATATTCAAAGTGTGGCCCCCTTGTTAGAAATGCAGACTCTCAGCCCACATCAGACCAGAATCAGAAACTGCATCCTGAAAGAAACTATGGTGACTTTTCTACACCCGAAAGTCTGAGACACGGTAGTCTAAAACAAGTTCAAATGCAAGTGGTAACAGCGTTCAGGAGCTTATTTTCTGGTTATAGAATAACCAAGATGAAAATATGAAAAGGTGACTAATAATGCAAAGCAATAAGATACAAATGTCCAGTGACTAATGTAGAAAGAAATGTCTAAGAATGGGATTTGAAGTGAATGTTGAGTAAAGAATTGAGGAGTCTACCTCTAAGGAGAAGTGTGTCCCTACCAGAGGATGGGATGAGACCCATGGTGTGGTATCAGGACACTTTAGGAAAGGGTAGGAAAGGTGGAGATCAGTGTATGGAGTTTATAGTTTATGGAAGATGGAGTGGGAAAGGTGATAGACTCAGCTTTCTCATGCAAAAAACTACTGTCTTCCCTGGGGAAAGCACCCTTGTACTTTACACTCTAAGAAATAAGCATCAGGGGTGAGCAAAGAAATGGGAGAAAGGTGAGAGATATTTCAGGCTAGCTGTGCTTTCAGAGATCATCTGTGTTTAATGAGAGATGCCTCCTGGGCCTTTTCCCTACAGAGACATGATTTGACCTTCAGAACCACAGTCTATATCATTAGGAAGTAGTTTTGTGATAGAATTGTACTATACTATGCTCCCACATTATTCCATAGTATTGTATCACACTTTGACAGCTCAGACAAGATAACTGGAAGGCTCTTTTTGTTCTGTGATGGCTCAGGAGTTGGTGGAGGGGCAGTGAAAGGAGGTTGGGGAGCCATTCTTCAATAACAATAGCCCAGAGGCCTGGAATAGTCATCCAGCATCTCTCTGTTTTCCACAGAAGGTGGAAAGACACAGCAACTCTTGCCTTGAGTTGTTAGGAAAGCCATCTGCTGAAAATAAACATTTCATGCTCTGTAGTCCCACTGAGCCCAAATGCCCTGCAGGCTGCTTTCTCCTGATCACCACCTTGTGAGCTTTGATCCAGGCCATCACCCTGGTGGAAGTCCTCAGCCTTTGGAGAAAGAAATAAGGGCAGACATTGCATTTATGGCTGGATATTTCTTTCTTGTTGTTGTGTTTTATTTTTGATTTTGCTTTGTTTTGGGTTTCTTGTAAGTGTCACCTCCACCCTCTTCTGCAGTGTGGGCGATATGCTCCTATCTGTCTCATTAGAATTTTTCTGATCATTATTCTCTCTGCCCTGGTCCCTGGCCTAGGCCATAACACCTCTTAATATCGTCACCTAAAGCTGAAGTTCAGGAGCCTCAAAGTTGAAAGCTTTGCTATTAGCCTTCTCTTTTCCTCCATTTAAAGGAAAGGGAGATAAAATCCTGACACCCTGCCACACCTCAGGCTGGGACATCTGGAAGCACAGTGGTATGGCCCCTTAGGGACACCCACCTCCAGCTATAGCTTTGCGGTCTGCAGGGCAGCCCCACAGGCCAGTCTGGCTGGCCCATCCAGGTTGAACACATCCCCAACTCAGGACAGCCTTCAGGAGGCATCGCTGCCCTGGCACATACACTGTTCAAGGCTCTGTCCTCTCTTTAGATGGGGCTGTGCTTTAGAAAGTGGTTGTGGCAGGCAAGTATGGCCTCCTGCTTACTGTGTTTTCCACAAGGGCTGGGACCTTTGCAGGGTTTCTCTGAACTCCATCTTTCTGGGGCTTAGGAAAAAATGGAAAAGAGTAAGTAAAACATGGGCTACTGGGTTGACACTGAGAGACACCCCTAGAATGCTCAAAGTGTCTAACCACCTCTCCCCAAGACTTCACTTTTTCCCCTACTGGTAGAGATTCTCCTTCCTGTCTCTCTTCAGGCTGAGGTGGCTCAAGAATGGATCCATTTTTGCATTTTCTAGAGAATGGTTTCTTTCCAAGCACCTTAGTTATAAAATTATGGCTGCCCTTTCCTAATCATAAAACTAGTTTGAAGTCTCATAATACCAAATTTATCAGAACCTGCCATCTTCTACAAAACTTAAACTTCTGAGAGAGTTAAATACTTGTGTCATGCAAAATTACCTTTTCCTCTCACAGTGTGTTCTTGCCCTTCCTTTCCTGGGATGACAACTCTATACACATCTTTCCTGCAGATGGTGCATTTGAAAATTTCCTCCTCAAACCTCTTGAGAGGCATCAGCCCCATCACATCTATCAGGAAGGGTCATATGTAGGGAGGAACTTTCTTTTCCTGTTCGTTTTTTTCTTCTCCAGTCTCATCTGGGGATGTGGGTGAACTGAGTTGTAGGTACAATGCAAGTCCTTGTTTTGACAGTCAGTGTTCATAGTAATCACTGGACCTTGCCAACTCAAGTCCAGAGTCTTGTGGCCCCTATGTGCAGGTAGCCCCTTTCCTCTAAGGGACCCAAAGCAGTGTGTGGTCATGAGTCTTCAGCTGCCTGATCTAGAAACAGAAGGATCAACTCCCTGACACAGGAGAATCACTTCTAAAGGGAAGGAAGAGCTCATCACAAAGCAAGTGAGTTCAAGTAAGAATTCAAAACAAGCGTCCTGGCTCAGCCCCTGTGGCTTGCTCTGGACTCCTGTGCACATGGCTTGCCCTTATGTATTAACTGCACACCATGAGGGGTTTAATTGTGATAGTTCCACACGTACATATGCACTTTGATCTTATTCATCCTTTCTATTATTCTTTCTTGTCGTCTCACCCAGTCCCATCCCTTTTTGTAACTTTCTTACAAAATTAACTGGGTTTGATGTATCCCTTTCATAAGTACACACCATGTACTTTGATCATATTCCCCTCCCACCTCCCACTGTTTCTCATGCAAAATAATGTTTCCCTTTTATGTTCATGTCCTTTTTTAAGATCTAGATTCTGCATATGAGGGAAAACATGCACTATTTGTTTTTTTTAGTCTGGCTTTTTTTACTTAACATGAATATCTCCAGTTCTATCCATTCTTCTCCAAATGACATAATTTCATCCTTCTTTATGACTGAATAATACTCCATTGTGTTATAAATACCATATTTCCTTTATCCACTCATCTGTTGATGGGCACCAGGCTGATTCCATGAATTTGTTTCCTCATCTGTAAAGTAAGTGTAATAATGAGGTAAATCTGTAGAACAGGAAACCTGACATTTAAAAATAAATCAATAAATATTTGATGTGGTTTATTACATCATTGTTGCCCCTTACCTTTCTGTCATGCAGAATTATATTTTAGAGAGGGAGACGTCATTATCTGCAACCCGTTGACTAGGTGGGGAGCGATTAAATCCTGTTAGCGAATCTTCCTCCCCAGAGAGCACGTGTGCTCATGAGCATTCGTCTCTCCTCTCTGCCTTCCTGGGTTTTCTCTTTTTGGACTCTACCTGGCTTCAATCTCTTCTGCTGCTTCTCTGAGCTCCACAGCTGTGCCCACTTACCCCCAGGAGGTCCCCAACATGCTGCCTCCCACTGCTGTGGCATCAGTAACTTCTGTCCCCATCTTCCCTCTTGGGGTGCTCGGCTCTCCCCTGCAAAGAGGGCTTCTGCCCGTGGGGACAGCACTTGGCTGGAGTTCAGTCCTCTGCCCTGGGACCCAGCTGCTGTTTAAATCTGGGGCATTCGTCCCCTTAACAGTCAGTTCCTCTCCTGCACACTGACTGGTAGCTGGTCTTTGACTGGGAACATGTTGGATATCCTCCCATTTTGTCACTCGCCCTTATCATGACCTTGGCCAAGTCTCTTGACTCCTGGAGTCTTCAGTTTTACCCTCAGTAAATGCTATCCATCTTGCTGATGCTTAGAAATGATGAGGAGCCCATGTTCCTTCTTTAAAAATGGCTTTGTGCAAATATTACCATTTCCTCTTACATCCTCAGTGGGTGTGTGACTAGGAAGATATTCATATGCCCTACGGCTACAGCCTCGCTGCTGCCTCCCAGTCAGACTCTTATACCTGCTGCTGTTACTCCACCCTTCAGCTTGGGGAAAAAGGAGAAGACTTTCTTTTTTTTTTTTTTCATTTTTCTTTTATTATTCATATGTGCATACAAGGCTTGGTTCATTTCTCCCCCCTGCCCCCACCCACTCCCTTACCACCCAATCCGCCCCCTCCCTCTCCCCCCCCCCAATACCCAGCAGAAACTATTTTGCCCTTATCTCTAATTTTGTTGTAGAGAGAGTATAAGCAATAATAGGAAGGAACAAGGGTTTTTGCTGGTTGAGATAAGGATAGCTATACAGGGCATTGACTCACATTGATTTCCTGTGTGTGGGTGTTACCTTCTAGGTTAATTCTTTTTGATCTAACCTTTTCTCTAGTACCTGTTCCCCTTTTCCTATTGGCCTCAGTTGCTTTAAGGTATCTGCTTTAGTTTCTCTGCGTTAAGGGCAACAAATGCTAGCTAGTTTTTTAGGTGTCTTACCTATCCTCACCCCTTCCTTGTGTGCTCTCGCTTTTATCATGTGCTCATAGTCCAATCCCCTTGTTGTGTTTGCCCTTGATCTAATGTCCACATATGAGGGAGAACATACGATTTTTGGTCTTTTGGGCCAGGCTAACCTCACTCAGAATGATGTTCTCCAATTCCATCCATTTACCAGCGAATGATAACATTTCGTTCTTCTTCATGGCTGCATAAAATTCCATTGTGTATAGATACCACATTTTCTTAATCCATTCGTCAGTGCTGGGGCATCTTGGCTGTTTCCATAACTTGGCTATTGTGAATAGTGCCGCAATAAACATGGATGTGCAGGTGCCTCTGGAGTAACAGTCTTTTGGGTATATCCCCAAGAGTGGTATTGCTGGATCAAATGGTAGATCGATGTCCAGCTTTTTAAGTAGCCTCCAAATTTTTTTCCAGAGTGATTGTACTAGTCTACATTCCCACCAACAGTGTAAGAGGGTTCCTTTTTCCCCGCATCCTCGCCAACACCTGTTGGTGGTGGTGTTGCTGATGATGGCTATTCTAACAGGGGTGAGGTGGAATCTTAGCGTGGTTTTAATTTGCATTTCCTTTATTGCTAGAGATGGTGAGCATTTTTTCATGTGTTTTCTGGCCATTTGAATTTCTTCTTTTGAGAAAGTCTGTTTAGTTCACTTGCCCATTTCTTTATTGGTTCATTAGTTTTGGAAGAATTTAGTTTTTTAAGTTCCCTATGTATTCTGGTTATCAGTCCTTTGTCTGATGTATAGCTGGCAAATATTTTCTCCCACTCTGTGGGTGTTCTCTTCAGTTTAGAGACCATTTCTTTTGATGAACAGAAGCTTTTTAGTTTTATGAGGTCCCATTTATCTATGCTATCTCTTAGTTGCTGTGCTGCTGGGGTTTCATTGAGAAAGTTCTTACCTATACCTACTAACTCCAGAGTATTTCCTACTCTTTCTTGTATCAACTTAAAAGTTTGGGGTCTGATATTAAGATCCTTGATCCATTTTGAGTTAATCTTGGTATAGGGTGACATACATGGATCTAGTTTCAGTTTTTTGCAGACTGCTAACCAGTTTTCCCAGCAGTTTCTGTTGAAGAGGCTGCTATTTCTCCATCGTATATTTTTAGCTCCTTTGTCAAAGATAAGTTGCTTATAGTTGTGTGGCTTCATATCTGGGTCCTCTATTCTGTTCCTCTGAGGAGAAGACTTTCTTAAGGTGCCCTGTTCTCTGCTCACAGCAAGGCCAGGTGTTTCGTGATACAAGCTCCAAGATAACACTACTATAGTAGTGGGTTTGGGGTGAGTTACCCCCTTAATAGAATAACCAAAATATTCCCTTTGGAGTAGGGATGGTTTGCAACAAAAAATATTCCCTCTTTTATATTCCATCCTGTATCCCCACTTCTATAATCTCCTTGAGACTGGAACAGTTCCCCTACTTCCCCAATGCCTTGTCACAGCACCAAACAGAGACCTCTATCCCAATGAAGGCTCAAGAGACTTTGCTGACAACCCTGTCTCTATACTGTACTCAGATTTCCAGGGGTTCCTTATTTATAAAAAGCCTCCATCTATAGAAAGAGATGGTTTAATCTGTCACAGTCCCTTGCACAAAACTGCCAGGCATGTATCAGGGCACAGCATATTGTCCAGTTGGCCAGTCAGTCTACCATCCTGAGGGACTGTGGGTGTGATCTCAGTGCTTGGTGGACCTGAGAGGAAACATCACTGTCATTCTCCTAGGATTACACTAATGTTCTCTCTTATTTGGAAATGAAACTAAACACATCTGCATCCTAAATGAGTTCACAGTTTCTAAGGCCAGCCAACTAAGGCTAGGAGCGTGGCTCAAAAGGTAGAGTGTATACCATGTACAAGGTCATGGGTTCAATCCCCAGCACTGCAGAAAAGGAAAAGGAAGCCAACCAAACTAGCCTGTGAGAGACTTACTTTTCACTTCTGTGACATTATTTACATAGAAATGCCATGGTTAAGGTGTATATGAACAAAATGCTCCCAAACTTGACCTTTAAAAGTACCAGGACAGGAACATACCTATTTTCAGAGTGGTGCCAGTTTTCTTTGTGGGAAGCTCCGATCCCTGCTTCCCCTGGCGGCCCCAAGCTGCTCCTCCTCTCCAAGCTCCCTCTGCAGCCTTAGCTGTCCTCTAGCCACCCACAGCCTCCCAAATCCAAGATAAGGAGCATTTTTCCTGCCATGCTGATTTGCTGGTACACAATTATGATTTATAAATAACCCACAATCAAGAATGCTAGGCAATTTGAACTTCTGCCTTGGTCTGTTCTGAATGCTGTTTTTAAATATGACCAGGATAAAGGAATGAGCTTAGGAGATAACAGGAGCTACAGGAAGGAAGAGGGGAGTTTTCCCTGGCACCCACTTGAAAACTTCCAACTTCCACTTAGGTGAGGACTACAGAAGTCCAGGAGGATGGGAGGTGTAAAGCTGCAGAATCCTAGAGCTAACCTGGTCTCCAAACATGAGGACCACTGGGCCTCTTGTACCTGATGAGGGTGCTGAAGCCCAGAGAGTTTGACAACCAACACCAAGTTGTCCTTGTGTAAAATACATTTTTATGGTGTCTTTTTAAGGTATAGAACATGAGACAGATAGCAAGTTCGTGGAGTAATCAACTAGTCAGTCATAACTCACATGGTTGCCAGTGGTTTCTTTGTTTCTGTGTCAAAATCTGCTCACCAAGTCACTCCTAGGTTTATTATGCTGTTTTGGTTTTGGTAGCATTTAAGTTTTCCTGGGAGCTAGGAGCAATTTTAAATAAGGATAAACTATTTCACTTTTTCTTGTTTGGGTTTTACTCTTCCAGTTGATATTTATTTACCTCTTTGGAATAATCTAAGGCCAGGCAAGGTGGCTCAAGCCTGTAATCCCAGCTACGCAGGAAGTGGAGATCAGGAAGGTCATGGGTCAAGGCCAAGTAGGCAAAAAGTTAGACCCCCAACTCAACAAATAGCCAGGCATGGAGATATGCGCCTGTCATTACAACTACAGGGAGGCATAAGTAGGAGGATTGTGGGTCTGAGGCCAGCCCCAGGCAGGAATGTGAGACCCTATCTGAAAAATAACTAAAGCAAAAAAAAAAAATGTGCTCAAGGTGTGGCTCGAATGGTAGAGCACCTGCCTAGCAAGTGCATGCAAGACCCTTGGTTCAGGCTGCAGTACTGCAGAGAAAAGTTCAGGAAGAATAATTGTCACTGGATAATTATTTCTCTCAAATCATTTTGAACCAAACTCACTTTCCTCTCCAGATACCATGAGCAATAGTCACCTCCAGGTGACCTTCCCTTGTTGATCTTACCCTCCAGGAAGAATGACAAAAGGTTGTGTCCCATCCTTCCTACTGGTCCAACTTCCTGACAGCGTCCCCAGGCACAGCCTGTGGGCTGAAGCAGGATTCTCTATCCCACAGGCTTTGTGCCCATCTGCTGCTTAGGGCTTTCTCAGATTGGCCGCATGAATCTTGGGACAGATGCCAGTACCTTCAAGTTTTACACCATGTGCGGCCTCCAGGAGGGCTTTGAGCCTTTTGCTGTCAACATGAACCGAGACATTGCCATGTGGTTCAGCAAGCACCTCCCGACATTTGTCAACGTGCCAAAGGATCATCCGCACATAGAGGTAACGTGACATAGTCCCCACACAGAGGTAACTTGACACAGTCTGCACTTAGAGATAACGTGACAAATCTGCATTTAGAGGTAACGTGACACAGTCTGCACTTAGAGGTAACGTGACACAGTCCCCACACAGAGGTAGCATTACACAGTCCCCTCACAGAGGTAACATGACACAATCCACACGTAGAGATAATGTTACTCACCGCAGGCGGCCCTGGCAGGGCAGGTGGGCCAAGGTCCTAAGCGCCCACCAGTTCTTCTGTAGACAGGCAGCTGCTTGCCTAGGTCCATGCCCTGACTCCCCTTCCAGGCACGTCACCTACCCTCAGAGCCACGGTCAGTAGCATCTCACAGGAGACAATGATCTTGCACACCCAGCCTTGCCATTCAGTCCTCAGTGCAGGCCACAAGATTTCTTCCAGACATTCCTAGACTGGTATTGTCATATTAATGCAGTGTCCAGAGACTTTAAACATTATTTTCCTAAGAGTTCAACATTGATTAAAGATCCTGGCTGATCTTCAAAAGATCAACTCAAGATGTATGTCCTGAACACATGCTCTTATGCGCTCATAACTCTGTGTCTGTTGAGCCCTGTTTAATTTCTGCAGTGCTATTTCTAGGATTCTAAGCTGGTATGTGATAGCAGATTATGATACCCCCACCTCTTAGGGGTTGCTGAGAGGAGCCAGGTTTGGGTTCTGGTTCTACATCTGCTTGCCTCTGTTGTGCCCATGCCTGCCATGTTTCTTTCATGGTGGGTGTGGGAAGAATGGTGCAAATGCAAAGCCAAACAGCTCCACAGTCATGTTCATGGAGGCCAGTTCTGTGGTTTGCTGCAACCTGACTCTTAAGTCCCCTTAACTCACCCTCCAGGCTGAATTCAACACATAGCAGCTGTTAACACCTCAGTGTCCATCACAGTCTTAAATCATCAATTTTTATTTCTCTGATTGCTCCCAGGCCATTACTTTAGAAAGGTGACTCTTGAGTGTTGAGAAGCCATGAGCCTGCGTGACAAACTGGTTCAATCCAGAACGCCCCCCCCCCGCCCTATAGAAAACCATTTGAACCACATACAAATACATGAGATCTCATGCACCCAGGACCAGAACTGTGGTCTAGAGAACAGGGGCGAGGCTCAGATCATAAGAAAGTTGTTCTATTCATGAGCCTCAGATTACCTCCACTGCTCCCCACACTTCCCATAGTACTGTAAGTCACTCCAGGATTTACAGCAGGCTGAAGAAGCCATGGCTCTGGGTGGGACCATGGAAGAGATGGGAGCCAGGCCACTTAGATGCTTGTGCTGTCCACGGGAGCTCGGTGACTCCTCCTGAGCCTTGGACTTTCTGGTGCCTTTCCCTTAGATGTTCTCATTCCACTGACAAGGGAAGTCTTTGGAAAGGTTTTTGCCACATGCCCCATAGCCTGAAAGGACAGCCTTTGGAGACATTACCCCATATCACCCCAAGCCCATGTCCCCCTCTGTTATTTATTCTCTACCTTGGCCTTACAGACAACCCTATGGGATCTTCTATATCTCTCATTTCCCTAGCCAGGAGTAGATCTGTTCTACTGGATAGGAAACTATGAGAATTGTAGTTCAGTTATCACCAGTGACAAAGTTTCTAGGCTGCAGAATGTGTTGTTATGTGTTGTTATGTCAGTAAGAGAAGGAGGGGCAAAGCCAAGGTCGGCTCCTCCCACACATCAGGGTAAGGACTCGGTGGTGTTCCCAGGTTGTGAGGATCGATGGCACCATGGACAGCCCTCCATGCCTCAAGGTGACACACAAGACATTTGGCACTCAGCACAGCGATGCCAACATGATCTACTGCCGCCTGAGCATGCCTGTGGAGTGCCACTCCTCCTTCAGCCACAGCCCCTGTCTGGACAGTGACGCTTTCCAGAAAAGGTGAGGGGGAGGTGTCTGGCTCTCAAACTTGCTCACTGTGTCTGCTCTGAACCGGCTTTCTGTTCAGTTTTTACTCTACCTCTGCACAAGAACTTAGCATGTGGGGTTCTCTCTGCTTCGAGTAAAGAAACAAGGATACGTGTGTACAGGTGCATGTACAAAAGTGGGTGTGTGTGTTGGTGCTCTGCAGAATTAAGGGTTGATCAGACCAAACAGTCACAGCTAGTGCAGAAGTTTCTGCTCTTCTTGAGCTCTCTGATCTCAAGTCTCCTTGATGTTCACAATTCCTGTGGTTTTGGAGTGAAGGGACTGCTTCTGTATAAAATTAAAACTTTCTGAAAGTAAATACTGCCTTACTTGAATACCTATGTGATTATCCAACCTCATAGCTGTGTGCCTCTTGAGTAATCTGACTTCCTTCCTGATAAGGAAAATTCCCTGGTGTCTTTCTTTTCTTTGAAATCTGTTTTTAATCATTGATGTGTGTCTGCTGTCTGGAGCTGTCTTGTTCAGATCTCCCATAGTATTTCACTATCTACCAAGCCTTTAAACAGCACTTGAGGGAACAGGATAACCCATTTAAGGTGTCTCTGCCTATGTTACCACAACCTCTCTAGGTCCCTCAAGCTTAACTTTCTGTCTGCATGGAGGGACAAAGTTGGAAATCACAGCTCTGCCTGTGGAGGCAACTTACAAATGAACAACTCCCAAGACCAATCGAAACCACTTGTGTATAGAAAACAGCCAGCTTCCTAAACTTACCTTGATCATTAAAGGTAGATCAATTGCCTGTCAGAACCATGGGATTCTCTATACAACCGAATAACTAGGATTTTCTTCCCCCCTGCCCCCAGGAAACAGATGCAAGAAATTCTCTCTCATACAACAACAGTAAGTAAATGTGCCCAATTATGGTTTTAATTATTTGACTGTTGCTGTGCATTGTATATACCCCTCACAGCAAAGATTTGTCCAGAGATCTTCTTTAATTGCCAATTACTCAGTCTTTTAATATCCATCCTGATGCTTCCAGAACACATCTGTGGCATTTCTCAAAGGAGAGAAAAGATAGCTACTACAGTGCAAAGCAACCCTACCTGGAGCTCCTAATTGGGCACCACTGTGGACTTGCTGCCTGTTTGCCACCAGGGACCAAACATTGCCTTTCTGATTGAAAGGGACACCAGTTGGAAGGGTTGCAATTAAAGCCTTTTGTTTGCTGTTTTGTGTCAACCACTAGTCCACTCTCCCATGTCTCTGCTCAGTAGCAGGAGCATTCTTGAAGGCAGTCAATGCAGGAGAGAAGCAAGAAGCCAGACTGGATGCCGGAACGTGCTTTGGACCCTGTTTTCATAGCTAGACAGTAGTCAGAAAACAATGACTTCTAATTTCTTCCTTTCTGTAATTCTTTAGCACCCGGTATCTATAGAAAAAAAATGCATGTCACCCCCTCTACAAAGCTGTCCTCAAGTCTTGTATCCCTAGGCTAAATATTATGAAGAATAAGATTCTTGCTGCAATTGCACCCCTGCTATGTGCAGACAGTGTGCTCCATGCATTGCATCCTCCTCCCATTGAATCTCCATTTATAGTTAACTTAATCGGCACCCCATGAGATCGTGACATTGCGCAGAATAGTATGCACAGGAGGACAAAAACATGTCCAAGGTCACATGATGGATGACTGGCATCCAAAATTCAAGCCTACGTTTGCTTGGCTGACCCTCCCAAGGTAAAAAAATTGACAAACTGCAAATGAGAGTTACTTCGTTAAGAATAAATCCTGTCAGTATCATAAAGACAATGATGAGGTAGTCCCCTTCCTCGGTGCTGCAGCTATTAGTGTACCATGGTTACATGCCTCACAGAATGAATGTTCCTCGCCAAGAACTGCCATCCTTCTCGACACTGCCTGTGGCAGGCAGGATGGTCACACAAAGCAGGTTTGGCTAAGGAATGGGCTGCTTTCGCAGCCTCTTTTTCAAGACTTTCCTAAAACAAAAACATTGATCCTCCCTATAGATAGAAAGTAATGGGAGTCCTCTGACCCTTGATTGCCCTCTCTGAGGGCAGAGACAGTGCCCCTCTCCCCTGGTGCCCAGGAGGGCTGGGGGCCTCTGCTAACCATCCTGGGCAGCTGCCACAGTGGCAGTACCAGGCTCTTCTGGGCAGTGGGCAGATTAGGTGTTTCCTGCTCCAGGTGCTGAAGCAAAGCAGCAGGGGGATCAGGAATCAGGGTCCCTATTAAACCATCTTCCAAGTCCAGAGTGCTGCACTGCTCTTCAATAGTGCACTTCTCCATAAGAGGGCCAGGTGGGCTGCTGCACTGCTTCTGCCTCTCGAGCGGTCCTCCACCAGCCAAAGTCACTCATGCCCCTCTGTCCCTCCACAGCAGTGCTACTATGCCATCCGCATCTTTGCTGGGCAGGACCCCTCCTGCGTCTGGGTTGGATGGGTTACTCCAGACTATCACTTGTATAGTGATAAGTTTGACCTGAATAAAAACTGCACAGTGACTGTCACTCTTGGAGATGAAAGAGGCCGAGTCCACGAAAGGTAAGGGAGCCCCCAACAGGCAGGGTGGCCCTCGGGCTCCTCCCTTCCTTTTAGAGCCAGAGGCACCTTGGAGAATCCCAACCTGGACTTTCCAAATGAGAACACAGTTCACATTGCTGAGGCAGCCTTCAAACTGTGTGATGGTTTGGGATCTGTCCACCACACAGTGCTGAATGCGCTGTCTGGCCCTCCACACAGCTGAGGGTGCCACAGGAAACCACCCCAGTTACATCAGATTGACCTTAGCATGTTTGAAGGGGCAGCCCTAGTATCAAGTGTAGAGTCATTCTCTCCTCCACCCTGAGCAGTCTCATCTTGTCACTTCAAGGGATCCAGGTGTGCCCCACGATGAGCATAGGAGGAGACACAATTGGCTGCCTCTTGCCAAACCCCACCATAGGGGGGGAGCCCTTTGGAAATGGTCGTTGCATTTATTCTTCAAAGATCACTTATGGTATGAAATCCTGAAAATAAAGAATCAGGGATGGGGTAGTCCACTGGTAGAGCTTGTTCAGGGGCCTTGGTTCGATCAGGCTTTGAAGCTTAATGGCTTTTTGGTGGTCTTAGTTTTCAGGTTTTACATTCTTGGAGTTGGTAGACAGCTAATGAGAAAGGAACCAAGTTGGTGGCTAGTCAGTGATACCAGAAGCAGACCTTCAGGGAGCTGAGAGCACAGGGTGGTATAGATCAAGGAGGTGAGAGGCCATTAGAGACAAACTTGACTTGTGTTGAGAGTCTTCCTGGGCCCAGATTTCCATCTTAAGGAATGTGTGCCTGGGTTTCCAAGTGTTCTGCAGCCCCTTGCCCTAGATACCTGACTGGGACTCAACCCACTTATTGTTTCTGCCTCCCACGCCAAATTCTTGTATAAGTTTGCCTGAGATGGTTGCCCTAACTCCCCACCTCTATGTGTGATACTACCATCCTCGTCATCTGCTCGAGTTAGAAAACAGTTATCTGAACATTGCGGTCTTTGCAAGGAGTGGACCACGTCCCTAGCGGAGTGGCTCATGCCTGAATAAGTTGAGACTGAATGAACTCATTTAAGAAAAAGTATTTGGAGCTCACTATAAGGCTTTGTAGTCCTGGAGCATTTTACTCCTGAGTCCTGCTCACAAACCACCAGAACCAACTCACTGCCTTCTCCTCCTCTTTCTGGCACCCAGTGTGAAACGCAGCAACTGTTACATGGTTTGGGGAGGGGACATCGTGGCTGGTTCTCAAAGGTCAAGTCGGAGCAACGTGGATCTGGAAATTGGGTGCCTCGTGGATCTGGCGATGGGCTTGCTGTCCTTCTCCGCTAATGGAAAGGAGCTCGGCACCTGCTACCAGGTAGGAGCAACAGCTGAGGCTGAGGCAGTAGGATCCCAGGCTGTGAGTCTTTGGCTGTGTGCCTCATTCTTTCCCATATTCAGCCCCCCACACAGCATGTCCAGTTGATGAGCCCATGTGGTCCATAAGTCATTTTCAGCCACAATTGAACAAGAACAAAGTAACCTTTGATCAGATATGCTGGTTGTCTTTCTAGAGGAAGGAAAGGCTCTTCCTTACTAAAGAGCTCCAAAAAATTATCCATTTATTCTACAAAAATTTCTTTACCTGAACTGTACAAGACACAAGATTTAAAAGGTAAACAGAAATATTTTTCACTTTAAAAAACTTCTGTACTTAAAATTCAAACCTATAGAAACTTATAAATTTGCCATGTGTTCCCTTTGCAAAAAGGTTATTCATGTCCCCTATGAAAACCTTACAGGGTTCCTTAAATGGTATTTGTGTACATTTTGTTTTCCTATTTCATGGACTGTGAACTTCTACAGAACTACTCAGGGAAACCTTCAGTTACACACCTGCAGACTACCTGTCATTAGCCACAAAAATCTGATTTTTTTCATCCTCGATGGCCAGGTGAGCTTGTGGAAATGCCATATATCATACCCTCCTCTTAAAGTTTGGCAATGAAGGTTAAGTGCATTAAAAACTCTGAGAAAGGGTTCAGAAAGAAACCTATCTGACCAAGCATTTCTCAAATTATTTGACCAAGAAAAATATTTCATTAACCTTAACAATTATTAGTATTCTGTGAGACTAGAATTCCACAGAGCCTACCGTGGAAAATGCTAAGTTGAGGAGTTAATTTTTATGTTAAATATTCTTGACACTTCAAGGGTAGGACAGAAAGTCAAATGGATATGTAGGCAGAGAGTGTTATGTAAGCTAAGACAAGGAAGAGCTTATTCACATCAAGAGCCATCAGGAAAATATTCATTAAGGAGAATCTTGATTTTGAGGGACAGAGAACAGTGTTCTAGGTTGGACGAATAGCCCAAGAGTCATTCTAGAGACAGGGCAGAATAGTATGGGGCTTTTATGATTAGTGGAGAGGTAAAGACATAGAGGTAAAAATGGGGAACTATTGAAGGTTTCTCAACAGAAGAGTGGCATGCATTGATTAAGAAAGCCAACAGTCTTCCAAGGTTACCAGCTTAGCTCACCATAAAGATAAAAGCTTATCCTGCCAGTATATAATGGATAAAAGCCCTGATTCTTCAGTCAGCCCCAGGATTAGCCTTGGAGCTGAAAAACCTTCAGCAGCTAGCTGAAGGAACTGGAGAGAAGCAGTCAGAGAACTGCCCCAAATCTGAAAGGTTCGTACACCAAGAACAGGTGGAGGTCCTAATCCTTGTTGGGGCTGGAGTGGCCACAGGCAGGGGAGACAACTACCTTGTCCCTCCAGCCTCTCCTTGGAGTGCGACATACTCTGCACCCACCTCTCCTGTGGGAAAAAAGAGGATCCAACAACTACAGCTCAGCTGGCCATTTCCAGAAAAAAGGCATCTGTGAAGCCAGCTTCATGGAGGAAAGCCAGCTTCATGGAGAAAAGGTTCTACGTACGTCGTTGCCATCCTTCAAAATCCATCAGCTTCTTCCCATTAACTTTTGAAATGAGTTCAGAGGAAGCTCTTCCCTGAGCTGCAGAGAACTCTAGAGCAGCTAATAACTTTTAAGGCCAGTTGAGCTTTGGAGATCAGCAAACATTAATGAATTCAAAACAAAATAAAAATGTAGTGTTTTCAGTAGTGACTTGCCTGCCTCAGGGAAGAGCTTATGATGTTGAGAAAATGCTCAGCCAAGAGGAGGCGCTGTGGCAGCTTCATCATGTCCTTCACAGCAGTTCCCGGGCAACATTAGGCTGGAAGGCCGTCCTCCGAGCTGGGTGCTAGCTCCTGGCCCTGGAGCGATCGATGCCTATAGCCCCTCTTCATTCACGCTGCTCAGGGCTCCCAGTGCTGCCCCCTGCCCTGAGGAGTGCTGCTGGGGTAGGGTTAACTGTGAGGACTGCCTCGGATCCCTTGAGGGGCTCGTGCCTGGCCAGCCCCTTCTCACTCCCACAAGAATGTGTTGTGCCTCCATGCATCTGGTCCCTGGCAGTGGATCATTGTTATTCTGTAGCTGTAGTCATTGCCATTTTCAATTATCTCAAGAGGACCAGACCAGCAATATTTATACACCAGCATTCAATTCAGAAAGGACCAGTGACCAACATAATGAGAGACGGATTTCTCAAACAGTGTTTCTAGACCTCCCATTAAATAATGTGCTGTGTAATTTGCAAAGCTTTCTCTGTCCCACTTAATGCAATCAGTAGAGGAATGAATTCAAACACACATTCAAGAGATCCTGATAAGCAATGCTGAGCTGCCACACACTCCAAGGGCAGAGCCAGCTGTGAAAGTTAGATTTATGAGAGACTTTCGCTTTCAGTTCTGGCTGGTTCCCATGTCCTGACCTTCATACATGATTAGAAACAGAGTGTCTGTTATTATAAGGACAAAACAGATCTGCCAATAATGAAAGGAACCTCATCTACAAAGAGAACAAGTCTGTGCATGTCGTGGCCGCTGAGTCCAGGCGCCCTGCTCACTGAGTTGGAATAGAAGCCCCTCGTACAGTGGGATGCCCTCCAAGGGCAGAGGCCATTGTATGTATTCAGTGGTCAAGAACAGTGCCTGGCATCTAACGAGTGCTCAGTATTTGTTGTCAGACTGACTGACTTGGCTGAGAATTCACCTACTGTTTATTGATGCCTAACCTGTTGCCACAAAACTAGCACCTTAAAATATCTCTATTCATTAGTTCACAGTTCTGTAGGCTCAACTGGGTTTTCAGGTTCTCTCAGGCCAAAATTAAAGGTTTCTTCTGGGCTGAGCCAGCCTCTTCTCTTGTGGTTCTGGAAAGAACCCAGTTGTGAGCTTATCAAGTTGCTGGCAGAACACAGTTCTTTGAGTTGTAAGTCTATTGTTCTGAATGTGAGCTGGGGCCACTTTCTATTCCCAGAGGGTGTCCACATTCCTTTTCACATGGCTCCCTCCATCTTCAGAGCCAACAAGGGCACATCCACTTCATCCAGTTTGTGCTTCAGGTCACCCTGACTTTCCCTTCTGCCTTTAGCAAGAGAAAAATACCCTCTTGCAATCAGTTGAAATCAATGTCTATCTTGTTTTTAATCACATGTTAATAATACAAGGGAATTTCCTTGTGATAATCCTATACATGTGTACAGGGTACCTTGGGCAAGTTCACCCCCTCCATTAGATTCCCATTTCCCTTCCCTCTCTTTCCCCCTCTTTCAAACAGTGCTTGGTGGATTTCCTTAGGCTATCTTCATATGTATATATGCAGCCTATCTTTTTTTTTCTCTCTAAATATTTTATTTTATTTTTTTTATTCATATGTGCATACAATGTTTGGGTCATTTCTCCCCTCTTCCCCCACCCCCTCCCTTTCTCCCCCACCCTCTCAATACCCAGCAGAAACTCTGGGTATTGAGTTTCTCTAATTTTGTTGAAGAGAGAGTATAAGCAATAATAGGAAGGAACAAGGGTTTTTGCTGGTTGAGATAAGGATAGCTATACAGGGCATTGACTCACATTGATTTCCTGTGCGTGGGTGTTACCTTCCAGGTTAATTCTTCTTGATCTAACCTTTTCTCTAGTTCTAGTCCCCTTCTCCTATTGGCCTCAGTTGCTTTAAAGTTTCTGCTTTAGTTTCTCTGCATTGAGGGCAACAAATGCTATCTAGTTTTTTAGGTGTCTTACCTATCCTCACTCCTCCCTTGTGTGCTCTTGCTTTTATCATGTGCTCAAAGTCCAATCTCCTTGTGTTTGCCCTTGATCTAATGTCCACACATGAGGGAGAACATACGATTTTTGGTCTTTTGGGCCAGGCTAACCTCACTCAGAATGATGTTCTCCAATTTCCATCCATTTACCAGCAAATGATAACATTTCGTTCTTCTTCATGGCTGATATGCAGTCTATCTTAAATTCACCTGGTTAATGGCTTTGTTTACATCTACAGAATCTCTTTTGCCACACAACATAATCACAGGAACAAAACCAGGGTCCTAAGAGCCCTCTAGAATTCTGCTTGCCTCACCACCCACACCAGCCCACACTTGGGTTTTTTTCTATTTTAAGTGATTGATGAGAAACCCCCATTGTTCATCACAGTGAATGTGTACTTTCAAACGACCTACTCCTACAGAGTTTTAGAAGAGCCCTGGAGTTCGGCTGAGCAGTTTATGAAATTTGCGAGAACCAGTTCTGAGGGACCTGAAAACATGAAGCCTCTCATGTGCTCTAGGTTAGCATAGGAAACCTTTGGATGAATGCCTTTATCTCACCCCATTAGCACAGGCTTGTGGGTTTTCTACTGGTCTCAGATCTCAGCCACCAGAGGTCTGCTTGCCTGCAGGCAGTACATTGTTCTCAAAGTCACATATTGGGTGTTTGGGAAGTCTAGGACCACCCTAGGGATATCCCTGTCTTATGGCCAAAGTCAGAATTTCCTCGTTGTCTCACCTGCTGAAGGAGGTACATAATAGGTACTAAATCATTTGTTGAGTGTCCTTTGCAAATCTTACTTCAGGCAGAGTTGGACATTTTAGCAGTCCACCCCACATTTTGATTTTACAGGCATTTATCCCTTCATATCATCCATGGGTACCTGAAACATTGGGTAGAAACCAAATCCTGTACCTAAGCTGTGAACCTACTGCCCTATAGTAATGACCCTGTGCCAGGCCAAAGGCAAGTTTGGCCAGTCTAGCCTCTTTTATCATGAGCAATTGGCACAGGATCATGAAATCTTTTAAATCTCATGATGAAATGCATTGCAGAAGCTTATTATTTAAAGGGAGGCTGTAGTAAATCCTCTTGACTCTTGACACAAAACTCACCACAAACAGTGGCTTATAATAATATGCATTTATTATCTTGCAGCTTCTGTGGGCCAGAGACCCAGCATCCAGTCCTCTGCTCATGGTCTTACATAGCTGCAGTACAGGTGCCAGCCAAGCTGTGTTCTTTTCATTTTCCCTGTAGTCTGCATTTGCTTAAAGGCAAAGGGTTTCCAGGAGTAGAATTAAAGTCTTCATCTGTGAGAAAACATCATGCTTTCTCCGTGGTCTTCCAGAGGCACTGCTCCGAGTTTGTTCCTACATCAAAATGAGCAAATGAAATTTTAAGTGCAGCCTCTGATCTCATAAGTAAATAAATCCACGTACCTCATATGTGGTGCAGATGGAAGATAATCCCTTCCATCTTTAAGGGAACCCTTTAAAGAACTGCAATTGAAAAAAGTGAGAAAAGGGTGAAGAAAAGTTCAGAGGAGCCCAGGCAGAAGAGGAGATCCACGTCCCAGCAAAGTACATCATTGTCTTTTCCTGTAGAGCAGTAGTTCTTGACTGGGGTGCTACTGCCCCCTACAGGACATGGGGCAATGTCAGGAGACCTTGTTGCTCATCATGACTTTAGTGTGTGCCCTGACACATAGTGGGCAGAGGGCAAGGATGCCACTCATATAGTATAATGAACAGGACAATTCCCACAAGAGTTACCTGGCCCACAATGTCAATAGTGTTGAGGTTGAGAGACCCTGCTGTAGTGTTCCTGACCTTGCTGACCAATGTCCATTTACCTTCAGAAATAATTCTGAATCGACACCTTCCCCTCAGTCCTGGTCAACGATGGACATGCCCAATGAATGACTGTGCTGCCTATGTGCCCAGGGCCTCGTGCTCTGCAAAGAGTGAGCAAGCCATGTTGTTCAGGGGCTAGCAGCAGCCATTGCCTTAATAGAGAGTGAGTAGCTCCTCACCTGTGACCAGCAAAAGCTGCTGACTGCAGGTACCTGAGAGAGGAAGAGAAGGAATGCAAGATCATCCTTCAGCCCAAGTAGGAAACAGCAACAGTCTTCAGTAAGACACTAGGTCTCAGAATTCCTGACCTGCAGGCCAGCAGGCATTTTTCAACAGAGCTAGAATGGCAGTATTGGCTACCACACCCAGTGGCTTGCAAGCTGTGATTTCATAGTTCTGGGAAAATTTCTCCATCTGTTTTGGTTTCCAGGTGGAACCCAACACCAAAGTATTCCCAGCAGTCTTCCTGCAGCCTACAAGCACTTCCTTGTTTCAGTTTGAGCTTGGAAAGCTGAAGGTATGTCTTTCTCATCGTGTAACAGCCATGACAAAAGAAGGCATCCCAGACCCTTAGGAGATATCCCAGTCTCAAAAGACAAGCTGGGGAAGGCCTCTCACCTCTCTTTTGTCTCCCCTCCTCCCTCAGGCCCCAGCATTTACCTCTGAAATTCACATGACAGAACATGTACCTCTCATTTTCCCATTCTCTCACCTCTGTTATGTGTTCGGTGGTAAAGGGCTTGCTTTGCATGTGCAAGACTCACAGTAGTTCAGACTCACAGCAGGCCAAAAACAGCAACAGGCAAAAGAGGAAATTAATGCTCATATAATTCATTGTGCAAGGTCCTGCTTGATGCTGCAGAGCCCTCAGAGGCTCCTTGGACACATTGCCTCTCTTTGATTTCTACTGACTTTGTTGGTTATCATGAGCCACATGCTTGATTCAGCGACAGAGTCTCTGTATGACGTGTGCATTTTCTTCTCTGATGCTTTTCCACCTCGCCCCAGAATGCAATGCCCTTGTCTGCGGCCATATTTAAGAGTGAGGAGAAGAACCCAGTCCCCCAGTGCCCACCTCGGCTGGATGTCCAAACCATCCAGCCTGTGCTTTGGAGCCGCATGCCCAACAGCTTCCTGAAGGTGGAGACGGAGCGGGTGAGCGAGCGCCACGGCTGGGTGGTGCAGTGCCTGCAGCCCCTGCAAATGATGGCACTCCACATCCCGGAGGAGAACAGGTGCTGAGGGGCCCACAGAGGGAGGGGGACGGGAGGGAGTGAGGGGCTGGGCAAGCCCCAAAGGAGCTATAGCACCCATGAGACCCTGCTCAGTCCCAGGATGACTGCTGGTTCCCCAGCATTTCCGTTTCTGGTCTTTCCCTTCCCCAGTCACCAGTCACTCAAAAGCTGAAGGAAATGGGATGTGACATGCCAGCCACAGATCCTAGAGCCTGGATCTGGGAGCGTGCCCATACCTTTAATTAAGAGCCAGGTGAACCCTGATATACATATTATTTTTGACAAAAAGGGAAAAAATTAGATTGCTAGTTTGACTTAGAGAACTAAGGCTTTTGAGAGCCTTAGATATGATGGATTACCAGGAACTAGGATGTGGACCATATCTGAGAGGAGTGGTAACCTACTAGAGAAAGTGTGGCAGAGACTCCTCCATCCCCTCCCCCAGCTGAGATCCCTGAGCCAACACTGACTTGCTGCACCTTCTTCTCCCCACGGGCCGCCTCTTGCTGTGCTGTCCTCAGGTGCATGGATATCCTGGAGCTCTGTGAGCAGGAGGATCTCATGCAGTTCCACTACCACACACTGAGACTGTACAGTGCCGTGTGTGCTCTGGGAAACAGTCGGGTGGCCTATGCCCTGTGCAGCCATGTGGACCTCTCGCAGCTGTTCTACACTATTGACAACAAGTACCTCCCTGGCCTGCTTCGAGCTGGCTTCTATGACCTGCTCATTAGCATCCACCTGGCCAACGCTAAGGAGAGGAAGCTGATGATGAAGAATGAGTACATCATCCCCATCACCAGCTCCACCAGGAATATCCGCCTTTATCCTGATGAGTCCAAGAGGCACGGGCTGCCCGGGGTGGGCCTGCAAACGTGCCTCAAGCCAGGCTTCAGGTTCTCCACCCCTTGCTTCATCATGACAGGCGAGGAGCACCAGAAGCAAGGCCCTGAGATCCCCCTGGAGACTCTGAAGACAAAGGCACTAAGCATGCTGACAGAGGTGGTTCTCTGCAGTGGAGCTCACATCCGAGACCCTGTCGGGGGCTCTGTGGAGTTCCAGTTCGTGCCCGTGCTGAAGCTCGTTGGAACCCTGCTGGTCATGGGGGTGTTTGACGATGACGATGTCCGCCAGATCCTGCTCCTGATTGACCCCTCTGTGTTTGGGGAGCGTGGTGAGGAAACAGAGGAAGGAACAGAAACAGAGGAAGTGACTCAGGTAGAGGAGAAAGCCATGGAGGCTGGGGAAAAAGCCAGTAGGGAGGCACCAGTCAAAGGCCTGTTGCAGACCCGATTGCCTGAGTCTGTCAAGCTTCAGGTAAGTTGGGCAGCAAAGCTGAACCTGGGAAACAAGGGAGGGAAGCCTGGTGGTGAGGGGGGACTATAGGCACTGCTGGATCCTGCTGCTGAGAATGCAGCAGCGGTGCCCTGGGCGGTGCTCATTTCTGATGGGAATGCATCCCAAAGCCAAAGGAAAATGCTCCCCATTGTCAGCAGGACTCCTTGAGATGTTTAGAAATGCTTTGGGAGAGCCTTTCCCAGAGATGGCTTTGTCCTTGTCTCTCAGCCTTTGGGACCCAAGTGCTCACTTGTGAGGTGGCCATCTGAGTCTGGTGGGGGTGGGGGGGACTTTGGGTACGGAGTAACCCCAAGGACCTGGGGTTCTCACAGAGCCAGAGCACTCATCACCTGCTCTCACTGAGTGCCATGTTCACACACCAGCTGAGGTGGCATTCACAAAACTGTCACCCATGCTGTAAAGCCCCCCCTCCCCAGCACCACCCAGCAACCCTTGATGCTGTGCCTAATTGTAAGCTAGCATCCGTAGTGCACTGACTTTCATATCTGGTACTAAGACAATAGAAAGGAAGCTGAACTGTGGAAGACAGTCTGTCCCATACAGTGAGCCTAGGTTGGCTGCTCCTGGGCCCCGGCTCCTGTTGCTCCTGGCTAATGAATTTGCCAAGTTAGGAGCCAATGCATGCCTTTGCTTTGTTATTTTGAAATGTGGGTAATGGATAACAAAATGTAATGATAAAATATTTTCTTAAAATACATGAAAGCTGTTTGATCATAAATGGTAAAAGTCTGGTATCTAATGTGAGGGAATTTGTAAGTGGTCAGTTAATCAAAACATTGAATGTAGAGGAGAAACAACAAATTTTATATATACCATTAACATTTTGCTATTCTGACGCAGCGCCAAGACTTTCTTTAACAAGAATCCCTGACTGGCACATGAAGCCCTTTCTTTTGCATATTGACACCTGGGTTTAGCCTCTGTGGTTGCCAGTAGGGGAATTTTTTAAATAATTCTCAGTGTAGAGGTCCAACTATGTCTTCGTGGTGATGTTTCAGTCACAAAGTACCATATACATGACGCTGGTCACACGAGAGCCCTTCACCTGGTGATGCACACACCACCTCACTTGGTATAAGCACACGCTGAGGTGTTCACAGGACAGTGAATTTCTCAGAGTATCCCTGTGGTTCAGTGAGAGGCCACTGTAATTGAAAAGCAGCCTGCATACAAAATGCTTCTAGATTTTTATGGTTTTCCTTAACTTTTGTAGTCGTCTCACACCTAGTTTTAGCATTTTAGAAAAACAACTACTTTTGCAGGGTGATAAGATTATTGCAGTAACACTTCAAAAGAACTAATCCCAGAAGAACAGAGCAGTGCAGATGAGCAGCCACCACAAAATATGGGCGGGGGACCAACATCACATTTCCCACCCTCTAGGACTGGAAGGGGTCAGGAAGGAAGGCTGTGCTCCTGTGAGCGATTTGGTGCTGGTTTTTGAACTGAGCTTCCTGGGAAAATTTTTCTAAGGAATGGTGCATCTAGTGAACTCTTTCCTCTTGCTCCCCGGCCTTCATGGTTGAACAGCTGGTATCTGCATTTGGGCAGATTTGGGTGCAAGTAATCATTTCATGGTTACTATGTGAAACTGGGCAAGTTACTTCAGTTGTCAAGGTCTCAGTGCTGTGATCTATAAAATGGGGGTGCCGGCAGCTTCTCCAGTGTACCCCAGAGGACAAGAGGTGCTGTTGTATGAGCAAGCATGCACATGTCCTCTGTTTCAGATGTGTGAAGTCCTCAGCTACCTCTGTGACTGTGAGCTGCAACACCGAGTGGAAGCCATCGTGGCCTTCAGTGACATTTATGTCTCCAAGCTGCAGGCAAACCAGAAGTTCCGCTACCATGAGCTCATGCAGGCCCTAAACATGTCCGCAGCCCTGACTGCCCGGAAGACCAAGGAGTTCCGCTCACCCCCCCAGGAGCAGGTGAGAGCCCCTTCCTGAGCTGCACCCAGTTCCTGTGAAGAACTTGAACCTCATGTGGGACACACGAAACCCTTACGTTGTCTGGGACAGCCCCAAGAGCTGTGGAAGATTGAAAGACCCATCGCAGCAGCAGGAGACAGGCCTGGTCCTAGGCAAAGACTGTCTAAGAGTATGTGCCTGTTACCCTGGGTAGAAAATAACCCTTTGTCAACCACACACAGGCCCGAGCTTCCTTCCTCCCCTCACCTTCTTCTAGCTATACCTTTACTAATGAGATAAAAGCCAGACCACTGTTGGGAAGAATTTCTCCCAGCCCTTCCAGAAGTCACTAGCTGTCTGTCAGAGATCCACAGAATGTGGTCAGTATGCCCAACGTAGGAGTTAGTGCATAGCCTTCCTTACCTGACATATCCAGACCCCCTTACCCAGTGGCTGTGACTCAGACAAAGCCCCCCAGCCCTGTGAAGCCTGGGGACTCAGCAGGTGAGTCATCTCATATAGCATGTTGTGTTAGTTCCTCATGGTCCGCCCCTGCGACCAGCCTTGCCTAGGTCGAAGGCGTCTCAGGAATGAGGAGACTCTAATGGGGGGACAGCCCATAGAATAATACTTCCCTTTGTCTCCACTGCCTCTCAGCCCTCTGACACCCTGAGGGCTGGTTGGCTTCTGCGTTGTAAGTGTTCAAAAGAGAAGATCCAGCTTTCAGAGAAGAAACGAGTTCTGTCTTTGAAGCCAGATCTTTGAATCTCATATATGTTTAATAGGTAGCCTATTCATAAGTTGCTGTCAGTATAAGTACCACTATTTTATGTTAGTGGCACAACCATACCTTTATCCAATTACTTTCCTCACCTATTTTATAGAGCATAGATATTTATATTGGCTTTAAATGAACCACATATCTCTGCTCTTAAAACATTTTTGAATGATACTGCCTCACTAAAGAAAAGGAGAGTCTTATCATCCCCCTGATGGATGTAAAATGAGAAGGCCCTTGGAATCGATTGGGACAGATCATCATGCTGCATTCAAATGCATGAGTGTCCTGTTTCCCCAGCCGCCTCAAATGCAAGGGCTGCTTTCAGACTGGCAGTGAGTGTTTGTGTTCCCTAAGTTACTGGACATACATCCGTTACTCTTTCATACATCTGTGAAGACTGGGAGACAGAAAAACACAGTGATTACAGCTCTGGTGTTGGATTCAGACTGCAGGACTCTGTCTGGTTCTGATTTCCTCAGCACTTGCTGTGGGGTTTGGGGCGCAGGGCCTCCTTGGATCCCAGTGGATCTGTGTGTGGGTGTTCTCATGACAATCCCTTGAGATAATTCATTTAGATTTCTTGGCATGATGCCTGCCATAGAATGAGCATTCTATAAATGCTTCTCAAGCTACAGTTAGTTTAGGGTTGCAGGTCTCTGTACTGTCTCATACCTATTCTGTGACCCTCTGTCAGTGGCCCAGTGAGTGGAGTTCACACGTATTTTATGGCATTTGTTTAACCCAGCCAACACCAACCAGGGTTTCCCAATACTGTCCTCACAGTCCTCGCTTTCCTTTCCCTGTTGTGCCTCCAGGCCGTCTATCACTTCTCCCAAGGTTCTAAACAGTCCTCTGAGAAACAGCTCCAGAAATTTGTCCCTCTACTTCTTGAGTAGCATCACCTGAGGAACTTAAACTGCTTGCCCAGCCCTACCCCTAGGTCTCTACTTCAGTAGACCTAGGGCAAAGACTCAGAATGCGCATTTTAACAAGTTTTCAGGTTTTGCTAATGCTGCTGGTCCAGGAAAGCTGTGACACACAGCTATCCTACCCTCTCTTGCTGGGAGTCTGCTTCCAGAAGAGGCCTGCCCATCGAGTTCTCAGCATAAGGAAGCTGTAATGTCCCTGAAGGATGTGGAGGATTTAGCTCTGTTTCACATGTGAGCAATGCCGAATCACTTGGAAAACAGCATGCATGAAAATTGGAATTTTTAAATAATGATATTCTTCCACATGTTTGGAGAATAAAATAGAGGTTTTAATCCCTGTATCTAGAGAGTATTCGGAAGGATGAAAAAATCCTTCCGGGGCAGTGCAAGACAAGGTAAAGCTATGATGACCCTAGGGTCGGCAAATTTGACAAGCACGTCAGCCAGGCTCTCACTTCCGAAAGGGCATCGTGAAAGGGCTGACCTGTAGTGAAAATCCTGCCCGATTCGTCTTTCCTTGTTTGGGTTGTACCAGGGTGTGAACTCAGGACTTCATGCTTACTTAGGCAAGTCCTCTACCACATGAGCCATGCCACTACCCCTTTTGTGCTTTTTAGTTTATTTTTCAGATAGAATCTCACAGTTTTGCCCATGCTGGTCTTAGACTGTAATCCTTGTACCACCACCTTCCAAGTAGTTGGGGTCACAGGTATGCTCCACCACACCTGACCCCATCTTTTAGATTTATGTCCTGAGTGTTCTAGCAAAGGAGGGATATGTCAGTAAAAGAATTAGTTTTCTGATTCTAAAACCAGATCTTCAGATCTTAAATATATTTAATAAAGAACTTATCTGTGTGTGTTGTTTATATACTTGTCATAATTTAACATCCTGGGAAAAACCACAAAATGACTTTTCCAGCCTACTTTATTACAAACAATACCCCATCTACTTACAAAAATGGCTCTCTATGGAAGCGTTGATTAAGAGTCTTCCTTATGATGTTAAATAGGCTTGTGGCTTAATAAGAAGTTGTAAAGTTTTCCCACCTAGAAACCCTGGCCTGGTGTTTGGGCTATCATGGCCAAGGCAGCAAAATGGACAGGATTACCTCAGCTCTCTCTGCAGCACCCCCACATGGCCCCTGTCTTGGGGGTGGGGGCTGTAGGATATGTCCACAGTCCAGGGCCCTGGGTGGGACACAATAGTGGCTTAATTTTCATGGCTCTCTGATGGCTTTGCTTTTCACAGTCAATGTAGGCAGCAAACAAATGTCTTACCGTGTCACCAACAGGGGCTGCACATCTCTTCATGCCATATTGTGGTGCTTCTAACCATTAGAAATAGCATCTTCACTGCTCAAGGTCACAGCGGCTATCTGAGTTAACAAAGAAGTGCTTATGCTATTACATCACCAGTGTTTTGTATTACAGTACGTAGATCTCAATATTAGTGTTTTTCTTTATAATACCATAGGTTCTATTTTATTTAAATATTAATCTGAGAAGCAATTCATTGGTCTCACCAGACTGTAAGAGGGACACATGGTACAAAAACTGTCAAGAATTTCTGAGACAAAGCCATAAAGGAAAAGAATGACAGGTTGCAGGACATAAACCTACATGTCAAAAGAGACAAGAACAAAGATCCTGTAAACAAAAAAATTTAAAGCTCACTAAAACCTGGGAAATGTATTTGGAGTATACATTACAAAGAGTTAATATCCAGAAGTGTGTAAAGCACTCACTAGGTAATTTTTAAAGGGGTAATTACCTGGCCTAAAAAATGGAGGAAGGACATGAACAGAGAATTTATAAAATTGGTCTTTATGTATGAAAAACAAAGTTCAACCTCGCCAATTAAATGCAAACTAAAGCAACAGGGATATGACATTTTTATCCATTAAACTGGAAAATGTTTGAAAGTGTGTAAACTCTCATTACTGTAATGGAAGTGGCAAAGTAGTACATGTTTTTGTATAAATTTGGTAGAAATGCAAATTGTGAGCTTTCTGGAGAGCGTTTTGAGAATTCCTATCAAAAGCCACTAAAATGTACAAACCTGTTGCTCTACTTATTTTGCTTCTAGGAGTCTATCCTAAGAAAATTATCATATCTATGAACAAAAATTATAGAAATAGGGGCCAGGCACAATGGTACATGCCTGTAATCCAAGCTACTTGAGAGGCAGCAGTTGGGAAGATCATCGCTCCAGGCCAGCTCAGGCAAAAAAAAGTTAGCAAGACCCCATCTCAACAAACAACCTGGCAATGATGTTCACATCTGTAATCCCTGCTATTCAGGAGCAGTAAGTAGGAGGATTGCAGTCTGAGACCAGCCCAGACAAAAAGCATGAGACTCTTTCTTAAAAATAACTAAAACAGAAAGAGCTGGGGGTGAGGCTCAAATAGTAGAGCGCCTGCCTAGCAAGTGTGAGGCCCTGAGTTCAAATTCCAGCTCCACCAGAAAGAAAAAAAAGTGATATAAAAAATACTTCAAGGCAATTTGCTTATAAAGACAAAATTAGAAGCAACTTAAGTATTTAAGAATTGATTTGGTGTAAATGACCCATCTGTGAAGTCAAGTCAGTGCACCTGTTCAAAAAGAGAGAAATAAGAAAATGTTCATGACAAACGAAGTGGAAAGCAAGGTTTTTAAAGTATATCTAGAGTGTGACCCCAGCCATGTCTGGAAGATATTAACTAACATATTAACAGTAATCCCAGCCATTCAGGAGGCAGAGATCAGGAGGATCATAGTTCAAAGCCAGCCCCAGGCAAATAGTTTGCAAGACCCTATCTCAAAAATACCCATCACAAAAACAAAAACCAAAAAGGGCTGGCAGAGTGGCTCAAAGTGTAGGCCCTGAAAAAAACCAAATTAACGGTACTCATCTTCTAGTGGTGAGATCACAGTAAATTCTCCTTTCTAGATAGTCTCCTAATTTTATAGAGTTAATAAATTACCTTTAGAATCAGAAAAAAGTAAAAGCTACTTTTATGCCTCGCCCACTTTCACCCCCACCCCCAAAAATAATGTTGAATAAGGTTTGTAAAGAACATGCAAGGTTCTCAAGCCAGATCTGAGTTTCCTGACTGACACTGAGAACTAACGAGAGTCCTCCCTCTGCCCACAAAGATCAACATGCTGCTTAGCTTCCACCTGGGAGAGAACTGCCCCTGTCCGGTGGAGATCCGAGAGGACCTGTACGACTTCCACGAGGACCTCCTCCTGCATTGCGGTGAGCAGCAGGGGCCCTGGCTCCAGCGGGGAGTCACCCCATTCATCCTTAGACAGCCAGGGGGCTGGGAATCACTGCTAGGTGTGACATTACTACACCAGCTGTTCAAGGAGTGACTCTGTCCATGCCACATGGGTCACAGAAGATACAGGAAGTGACCCTGCAGAACACGTGACTGAAATCCCTTCTGACTACGAGGCCTGGTGACCAGCAAGGGAGGGAAGGGGGGTCAGGTTAGGGAAAGAAGGAAAAACACTGACGCTTACTCACCCTCATCTCAGAACAGCTGGGCCTCTGCTCCTAGAGGCAAGCTATTAATGTACCTGGGGAGAGACCAGGGCTGATGTCGTCCCTTGAGGACTTGAAGCCATCAGTGCCCACTTCCATACTTGTGTGCTGGTTTAAGTGTCTCGTGGCTTTGCGATGCTTGAACCTGGTGGGTGGAGTGATGTGTGGGAGAAGCTGGGCCTTTCATTTGAACTAGTGAATGTTAGGGTCTTTCTAGTGGAGGAGAGTACTCTGAAGTGACTGTGTGTTAGCTGGCAAAGTTGTGGATGTCTATTTCTCTTCTAAATGTTATCGACTGTTCTTTTGTTTCAACCAATAAAATGTTCAGAAAAAAGTCTGTCTTTCTAGAGACTTACAGCCCTGTTTGAGTGTAGATTAGAAAAAGCTAGGTCCGGGATTAAATTTATTTGGTACTCCAACACACAGCAAATCATCTTTTTAAAAACCTCTCCAAAAGGCATAATGTGTTCACTTCAGGAAGTCCTAGAAAGACAGGAAGTGGCATTGCATGTTCTGACTTTAGGGGTTCTGGGTAGTGCTTGGTCTTCACTCTGTTTTGTGGCTCACAGGGGTTCCCTTGGAGGAGGAGGAGGAGGAGGAGGAGGATGTCTCTTGGACGGGTAGACTGCGTGCCTTGGTGCACAAAATTCGAGGCCCACCCACGCCAGAGAAGGTGCAGCCAACAGAGGAGAAGGAGAGCTGCCCTGGTAAGTGACCAAGTGGCTCACCTTTCAGTCACAGCACCCTGCCCCATTACGTAATGGCTCCCTAAAGCACACTGAGCCATAGATGGGCTGTTTAGCTTCAAGGACAGCCTGTTACCACTCGGGTAGATACTGCTATATATTTGGGCTCTGCCTTCCTCTGATGAAGGAACCAACTTTCAGAGTCTTCTGAAACCTAAGGGACCCGTGGTGTGGTATTGTCATAAACACAAGTCCGTTCTGTCTTTAGCATCGTCGACTTCTGTCACATCTGTTTGGAGTTATTTAGTGTGGAAAATTGACCCACTGGAGAAGTAAGATGATAGTAAAAGATGGTTTGTAAAGAAACAGGTGTTTGGGCTTTGATCCCAGGCTGGTGATGTTTTTCAAGTCTGCAGAGTCCTGGCCAGCTTCGTTCCTCTCATCTTTGCCCCATAGATAATACCTACCGTTTTGACCCATGGTGAGACATGATCATCATTTTCCTGCAGGGCAGTTGACTGTCTTCAAACCATTAACATTGCAAGAGAAAGATTGTCTGAATATTATATATAATCGATTTTCTTGGTACAGATTCAGCAAATATATCATTTACCTAAAGGAGGGATTTCCTGGGCTTAATATAGTGAGTGCCTTTTCTCTTCTGTGTTCCTATCCGCCCTAGAACACACTTTCAAATCCTAGACTAGAGCAGTAGACTGTCAAGCGATGATAGGCTGTCTGAAGCAGCACCTGGGGATTCATCCATCTCAATGTCCTTTTCAGTGACTCTCTCATCTTTGTCAGAGTATCTTTGGGGAACAAATCCTCTCCGTTTATCAGCAGAAGCTTTGAATTTCCCAGAAAGTGCATGGTGGCCTAGCACTGGCTCCTGTCAATCACCATGGAGAGGGGGTCCATGGCTGGGAGCCTAGCACAAGAGGCAGAATTTGCCTAGCACACCTGAGGCTTTGGTTGCAGTCCCCAGTACCACAGAACAAAAGAGTGGGTCTTTGGTGAGGATGTGCCAGGAGGATCGGAGAGCCACAAACAGTGAGTCAAGACTCCCTTTGTGGTTACTACCAAGGCAAGCCTGTGCACACTGAGCTGGCCCTGTGGCTCCTGTAAACCTGTAAAAGTTGTGTTTTGAAGATGGGAGCTTGTCTGACCTTTCTAACAGAGCAGGTCTGGGCCCCATAAATTGACCATTTTGTGTTGGGTGAATGAAATCACTCACGGCCTGCCTCCATGGAGTCTTCCACTCTCAGAATGGTGTTCAGGCACCAGGGATGGCGGACTTCAGCACAGTACTCCAGGCCTCAAGCAGATAGACCATCTTCCTTCTGTTTGGGTGGAGCTTGCACCTGGAGATGAGGGTATGAGAGGTTCAGGGTGTGTGTCCTGGAACCCAGAGATGGTTGAAGTGGTCAAGCATGACTGGTCCTCAGTGCTGGTGCACTGCACACGATGCCCCAGAGACATGGGCCCCTCACCCAGGGTGGACATTTTAAGACAAATTCTTGGGAATTTAAGATAAATTCTGGATCAAATGAAGACATGTTTCCAAATGTACAGCTAGTTGCAGGAAAGGCTCCGAAGCCTGTGATGGGCTGGGAAATGTGCTGATGTTATTGCTTATCTGACTTTCTTCTCCTCGAAAGTTGACGAAACAATCTGCATCAGCAGTGATGATATCCTATACTGCACTGACAATGTTCCAGATGCCTCCATGTGTGTAGATAACACACATGTGACAGTTCACTTTGTTCCTTCATCAAGTCATAAACAGGACCCAGACATGTTCATGCTGGGATTTATGTTTGTATAGATATATCCCAAGTCCCCAGATATAGAACACCTTTCGTTCTGTTTTGTGACAGGGTCTCACTGTATAACCCAGGCTAGCCTAGAACTTGCGTCTTCCTATCCTCAGCCTCCTGAGTGATGGGATTACAGGCATGTACCACCCTAGGTGGTTCTAAAATGACTTTTATATATCACTATCTTTCTCTGTTACATCTGTGGGGCAAATCACTACTGTGCTTCATTTTTAATGAAGAAAATGAAAACAGAATTCGGTTTAACATTTAAAAGTCACCTAAGCCAAAAACTTGGATTTGGAGTTTTCAGGGAAGGTGGTGGCAAATCCACCATGCAATTTTTGCTCTCTGAGCAGTTGGCGTCAACCACATGACCTCAGGAGGGAAAGCTTAACTTTTGGAGAGAGAAACTCATCCAAATGGTGCTTGCTGGCTTGGAGCTGAAGACATTTGCTGTAGTGAAAACTATTAGGGTATTCTCAGGGATTATGTAAAAATGTTGGAGTAGCAGCCCACCACACTAAGTCACGGGTTTTTCACATCTCGATCCAACAAATTACCCAGAAAATCTTTTGCCTGTTAAGACCTGGTGAGTGCTCCTTACACACTGCAGTTTTACAGAACTTCTCTAAATGCAAATATGTGGCACTCTCCTCTCTCCCAGAGCAGAGCAGCCAGCTACTTTCTCCTGAGCTCTAAAGTTAACAAACAAAAATCACCAAGATCACCAAAAGCACTGAATGCTCTCCCCCTGGTGCTTTTCATTCCCAGCTCCCTGTGAACAAAGGTCCCTGAAAGGAGGGGAGGAGAGGGGAGCAGAGGGGAGAGGGGAAGGGAGGAGGAGAGAGGAGAGGACCTCCCTGAGTCTCCTGTCTCTCCCTTATGATTCAACTTTCAGGGGCACTGGTTAGGAGATGGGTTGTAGGTGTGTGTGCTGAGTCTGTCCGAAGGACATAGACTCTACTCTTCTCTCCTTCCCCCTGTGCTCTTTGTCACAGAGCTGGGTTGGCTTTCTTACCCTGGAGCAGCACCTGCTCAGGGTCTCCCTCCTGTCACATCAGCAAGCATCCTCTGCCCTTTCTGTGCTCTTTTCCCTGTCGTCGTCGGTCATTTGTCGCCTGGACGTTTTTGAGAAAGTGATTATGAGGGTGGTTGACTGGCTTCACAGACAACAGGCTAATTATCTCCTTGTGATGGATGAGACCCCAGGGAGCTATAGAGTAGAGCTGGCAGAATCCGCTGTGATGTTCAGTACAGTGTCTCTGGAGGCTTGCAGGGCTGCCTGTGATGGTGAGCAGGGTGTTCATCTAGCTAGGGAAATGATCCTGGGGTGAAGCACTTGCTTGTATGTACCCTTGCCTCCATCTTATAGGTGCAAAGGGAGAAAAACACAGAGGGAGGGAAATTTACAGATAGATGTAGCAGAAATATTCATCTGCTACGTGACTGTCCACACAGTCTGCCCAGGGCAGTTGCAGGGTCCACAGCCTGCTGTAGACAGAATCAGCAGGCTTCGTATCTCATGCTCCTACACATCTCACTCTCACAGCTGCCTCTGCAGACCACCTGTGTATAAGAACCTACTTCATTCATTAAACTCAAGTGTTTCTTTGCCTGAACAGAAAACAAAGTGAGGATTGGCTAATAGGGGCCATCATCATTGGGGAAATGCAGTCCCTGCCACATCTGTCTCTTCTATTCTTGCACCGTTACTAACATGAGAAGTGTGATGCTCCAGTGAGGAGTTTGAACGTTTGCCCTGATCTTTGGTGAGGGAAGGCAGTAGGGAAGGAAATATGTGCATGTCCACAAAGTAAAACCAGAGCTGGGATGTGTCCTCTTCCTTGCCATGGAGCCTAGGGCTGCCCCGCACACACCTCCACACACCACCAGCACCTGCTCATTGTGCCCCAGTGACACGCAGTCAGTGGAACCATTCTTAGTCTTGTCACCTGTGAACAGTGCTCCAGCTGTCCTCACAGACTCTGCATTTGTTTCAGGGAGACTGTGACTCCCCCACTGCACCGTTCTAGTGGAACAAGGCAGAGTGCAGAGCCTGGGCAGGAGAGGCACTGGGAGCAAAGAAATTATCACGGTAGATTTTCTCAAGGTCTCCTTGGAATCAGTGGAGTTGACGTTCTCCCTAACTGTCTCTGAAAATAAGTGGTAGATATTTGTCCTGGAGCACAAAGTGTGTGAGGCCTCCCCCAGTGAATCTTCCCAGGGAACCGGGAGAATGTTTCTGTACCTGTTGGGGAAGTGTCCTCTCTCCCAGTGTCAGGACAGTCATCCCAAGGCCAGGCAGTTGCCAGGCAGTTCCCACAGCTCGTCTCCTCCCCATGAGATTGTGCAGTGACACATTGATAGTGTTCACAATCAGGAGCAGCTGAATTTTTGAGCTTTTGTTACCTCTTCTATCTCAGGTTTTACTCTTAAGGTAAGCAAGCTGCATGATATTGAAACGGGGCATTCAGATGTGGTGGTAAGATTCTTGGTGCTGATCCATTTAACTTAGTGAAGCCACAGGCTTTCACTTACCACCTTAACAAAGTAGTGCCACACTTTTAAGAGCTCAGTGGCTCAGATAGACAGAGATTCTTAGAGTATTATGCCACAAGCAGCTTGACTTCATAAAAACAGACAGGGACACAGAGAGGTAAGGTGATTTGCTCTGAGACACTCAGCAAGAGCTAGGACAAAGTACTCTTATGCCCTTCCCAGTGCTCTTATTACTTCACCACAGTTATATTCACTTTGTTCAAGAGGAATTCTAAAGGGCAATTCATTTTATTGGTGAAGAATTTGAGGCTGTGAGAAGTTAGTAATCTGACTAGCTGAGTGTCAGAAAAGAAATAAAAGCTTCATGATTTTCAGGATTTTATTTCTGAATCTATTTCCTAGTTTATTAAGAGTGTCTAGACAGTATGCAAAATGCAAATTTAAAGCATTGAGAAAGAGAGCTTTTTTCTGAGTTTTATAAAGATAAGCTTCTCTAACATGGTAAAGACAAGGGATTAGATTCCAGCAGCACAGGGCTGAATCCTAGCTCTGCTGTTTGTTTACTAACTGTGATCTTAGGCAAGTTCCTTGACCTATCTATGTTTCAGTTTCCTGGTATGTAGAAAGGAGAATGATAATAGTTCCTACAGAGTATAAGGCTTTAATAAAATAGTGCTCAGTTCAGTGTTCTGGCACCCTGGACGT